GCTGCTGCTGCTGGCTCGGCGACACCGACGGGCTCCCGCTGCTGCTGTTCCCGCAGCTCGCGCTGCACAGCCAAGCAGCAGCTTCCCCTGCAGGGCCCCCCGCAGCCACGCCCCCACCTCCCCGCGGAGACGGGGGCCCCAAATAGGGGGCCCCCTCAGCTGGAGGAAGATCCCGCTGTTGCTGCATCTCTTGTCAGGTCGCAGCTCTCACCACCACCCAGCAGCAGCAGCAGCAGCAGCAGCAAGGGCGGCGGAAGCGGTAGCAGAGGCAGCAGCAAGTTCAGCCTGCGCATGCATCCCTGCGGTGCCCCTGTGGACCGTCTTTGTCTCTAGAAAAAGTGGAAGGCTCATCGAAAACTGTAAAGGGGAGCCCCAGCAGCAGCGGCCACGCCACTGCAGCCAGCTGCCGCTTGTGGCTGCTGCGCCTGCTGCGGTGCTGCGCCTGCTGCAGGAACAGCAGCAGAAACAGCAGCACGCGCTTCTAAATAAACAAACTGAGCAAACAATTCAAAACAGATTAATGCAGAAAACCTGCAGACTCCGCCAGCCAAGGAACCATCAGCGGCGTCAGCTGCATGCACAGTCTTGTGGGGCTGGCCCAGCCGGCGGTCCCAGGTATTCAGCAGACAGCAACGAGAAAATGTTGAAATAAAAGGCAAATCGAATATTCACAAAAAACTCACTAAATGGTTTAAAATTAATCTCTGAATCAGCGTGCAAAGCGCTCCACAGCTCCCTTTCAAGTGTTGCCAACAGTTTTGTTGCGGGGGTTACATACCCTGCAGCAGCAAGTCCACTCTGACAAGCAGCAGCAGCAGCAGCAGCAGCAGCTCAGTGCACGAGAGGCGCTTCAAGTATAAAGTCCGTAAATTATTTACAGCACAATTTGCAGCAATTGAGAGCTTCTTAGGGTGACAGACTGCAGCCCTCTTGCCCGCTGGCGTCTACACACAGCATCACAGCAGGCACACAGCAGGTGTAGTCTGTCTCAGAAGCTCTTATAGTGGGACTTTGGAGCCTTTAGAGGTCTCTAGAAGCCGCAAATGAGGTATTTGGCAACAAAAGGCTCAAATATATTGCTAGAGTTGCGCCAGAAGCCCCACAGAGTCCACTAAAGTCTACCACAGGGGGAATGTTGGGAGCCCCTGAAGCAGCAAGACAGTGCAGCAGCAAAGCTTGGATCAGCGCAAAGCTCTAGGACCTACACACTAGCTAGCACGGGCCAGAAGCAGCGCAGCAGCGGCCCAGCAGCTGCTGCGGATTTGTGGATTGCTCCTAAGGGGGCCCAGTTTAAATAACACTAGTTTCCCTTAAGTAGTGTGCGGCTGTCTCGCAGCAGCAGCAGCAGCTGCGGCAACAGCAGCAGTAGCGGCAGCAGCAGCAGCAGCTGTTAGTTAGCTGCTGAAGACGCTGCAGCACTTGGGCCAAAGTCACTACTCGCCACGGGCTTGTCCCCACAGGCAATACGCGCCCTTCAGATTTGTTGGCTTTTTGGCCAGAGTCAGGCTTGCGGGGCTCGTTGGCTAGCTAGCTGTTTGAGGCTTGTTGGATAGCTAGCTAGCTGCTTGAGGCTTGTTGGCTAGCTAGATGCTTAAGGTTTCTTGGCTAGCTAGCTGTTTGAGTTTTGTTGGCTGGCTAGCTGCTTGAGGTTTGTTGGCTAGCTAGCTGGCTGCTTGAGGCTGGTTAGCTAGCTAGCAGCTTGAGGCTTGTTGGCTAGCCATGCCTGTTTCAAGGGTGCTGGCTAGCTAGCTATCTGGATCCTTTTGGCTGCCTGGCTAGCCAGCTACTCGCAGCATTTTGGCTAGCTGGCTGTGTGTGGCCCCTTGGCTAGCTGCAGTTTGGGACTGGCTAGCTAGCCGGCAGCTCGAGCTCTGGCTAGCTGGCAGCTTGAGCTTTGGCTAGCTGGCAGCTCTTCTGTTTTGTTTCTTGATTTCCTGTGAGGGGCAGCTAGCTGCATCCATTTTTGGGGCTTTTCATTTATTTGCATTTTTATTTCTCTGCTGCTCATTTGTTCTGGAGCAGCTCTGTGCTGCCATTCCTTGTGTCTTAAGTTGCCTCTGCTTTGCATGCACCAGCGGTCAGAGCCCACGAGCAGCTGTAGCAGCAGCAGCAGCAGCAGCTGCTGCTGCTGCTGCTGCCACAGCCGAGCATGCTGTGGAGGCAGCAGGTGCTGCCTGCTTTACTCTGTGGGGTTTCGGAGCCAGCCTCGTTGCAGTGTCTGCACACCTGGAGTGTACAGACCCCTGGGATCGTGCATTCTCAGTCGGCCCCACAGAGCGCTGCTGCTGCTGCTTCGCGCTGCTGCTGCAGCTCCGCGCTGCTGCTGCTGCTGTCTAGCATTCTTCAGCACATGGCTTTCCTGCTGCAGCTCTCTTTGTTTTTGCTGCTACGCTCCTCGGGCCTTTCTCTGTCTCTCTCAACAGAGCTATTTATGGCTCTTGCTGCTCTTGTCTTTTGGTTGCTTCTGGGTTGGCTCTGGGGGCCTCTCGGCCAGCAGCAGCGCTGCAGCAGCACTGCAGCAGCACTGCAGAAGCATTGCCACAGCACTGCAGCAGCGATGTTTGGCCTGTGCTTTCTCCTGGGGTTAGCTTAGAGTCTTCTAGGTTTCTCTTGGCCTCGCTAAAGGCCTCTTGCTGCCAAAGTTTTTTCTTCTTCCGCCCCAGCCTCTGCTGCGCCCCCAGCTAGCCTTTGTGTCTGCAACAGCTAGCTGCTTCGCAGCAGCTAGCTGCTTCGCAGCAGCTAGCTGCTTCGCAGCAGCTAGCTACTTCGCAGCAGCTAGCACTTTCACAGGAGCTAGCTGCTTTGCAGCAGCTAGCTGCCTCGCAGCAGCTACCTGCTTCACAGCAACTACCTGCTCCACAGCAGCTAGCTGCCACACAGCAGCTAGCCGTTTCAGAGCGGCTAGTTATCTCGCAGCTGCTAGCTGCCTCGCAGCAGCAAGCTGCCTCGCCGCAGCTAGCTGCCTCGCAGCAGCTAGCTGCTGCGAAGCAGCTAGCTGCCCCATCAGCTAGCTAACCTGCTGGCCTGCTGCTGCGGGATTTTCGAGCGGTTTGCTCTTCTATCTTGGCTAGTTCCTATTACCTAGCTGCGCCCTAAAGGCCGCAGCTAGCTGGGGGGGCCTTATTCGAGTTGTTTGCTCCAGTGCAGCAGCAGCAAAAGTCCGAGAGAAAAAACTAAAAAGACCAAAGTGCTGTTTTCAAACTACTGCGTTTAAAAATATTTTTGATTAATTTATTTCTAGAAAACAGCCTGCTGTGCAGCAGCCTGCAGCGCCAAGTGTACGTACAGCTCTTTGGCCCGCTACTCCCGGAAGTCCGGGTCTTGCTGCTGCTGCTGCTGCGTGTGGGGCGCAGCAGCTTGGTTCTGCGCGCTGGCAGCAAATGCTGCAGCAGTTTCCTCCGCGTGCCGAATCACCTCAAGTGCATGCGTCACTGCTGCTTCCTCCGCGCGCAGCCAAACATGAGCCACAAAAACCTCAACAGCAGCAGCAGCAGCTGCTGCTGCTGCAGGGCTTCCCTCTGGGTCGGACAATATTTCGACATCCTCCGACTCGTCGTCCCCCAGCACCACCTCCGCCTGTTCCGCTGCTGCTGCTGCTGCTGCTGCTGCTGCTGCCGCTGCTGCTGTCGAAGTGGTGGAAGTTCCGGCAGGCGAGGCCGTGCCCGAGGCACTGCGCTGACGCTTCCGCCGAGAGGCAGCAACCTCCTCCCCAACCACCAAGACATCATCTCCATCCTGCTGCTGCTGCTGCTGCTTCTGCTGCTGCTGCCGGCCCGGCTGAGGGCTATTGCTTCGGCGGCTGGCTGCGCTCGCCTCGAGGGCAGGGCTGAGCGCCCCCGACCTAACTTCAAGTACTTTCAAAGAGTCCTCTGACCCTTCATCCGCTCCCTGCTGCTGCTGCTGCTGCTGCTGCTCGTTCTGCTTTTGGCCCTGCTGCTTGGAGAGGTCACTGTGTGCTGCGTCCGCCTCCCCAGCCTTTTCAGCTCCGTTTGCTGCAGTCTTTGCTGCTGCTGCTGCTGCCGTTGCTGCTTTCTTGAGCTTGCTGGAGACGCGCAGCCTGTTCATTTCCGCCAGAAAGTCCTCCAGCTGTTCTCTGAGCAAGAGCAGCAGAAGCAGCAGCAGAGCAGCTGCTGCAGTCCGCTGCTTCTCTTGGGCGCTGCAGCAGCAGCCAAAGCCGCGCCAGCTCACGTAGCTGGGCCAGAACACGGAAGCAAAACAGCAGCAGTAACAGCAGCAGCAAATGACCTGGTGGCTCTGAGGGCAATGAAGACAATATCTTTGGCGGGGTCTCTGAGCTGCAGCAGCAGGCCAGCAGCAAGAAGCCTCCGCTTTGTCCACTGCCACTGCTGCAGCAGCCGTTTGCCCATGTCGAAGCGGGACATGAATTCTTCGTGGGGCATCAGGACGCAGTCGTACCTGAGCAGCAGCAGCAGCAGCAACAGCAGCAGAGAATGCCACAGCAGCAGCCGGTCTTAGCGTTGCAGCAGCAGCTAGCTCCCCTAGAGTTATGTTCGCCGCTGTCTCTGCAGCTTCAAGCAGCAGAGTGTTGCAGAAGCCTGAAGCAGCACACGCCGCCTCTAGCCGCCGATGCAGCAGCAGCAACAGCAGCAGCAGCAGCAGCAGCGCCAGCAGACCCGATGAGCCGACTCAGCTGCCACTCCGCCAAAGTCTCCAACAGCCTTCTGCTCATTCCAAATTTGACTTCCGGAGTCAAACAGCGGCGAACCAGAGCAGCAGTGAAAGGCACTGGCGGCCACCTGCAGCAAACTCGCAAACCAAACGCCACCTGCTGCTGCTGCTGCTGCTGCTGCTACTGCTGCCGCCCGTGGTATGCGCAGGCCCGCTGTGCCATGCAGCGGCTTCGTACGCAGGGGCACTTGACTGGCTAGTTGGGGGCTGGCTAGCTGGGGAGGCAGCTAGCTAGCCACTGGCGGGTCAGCTAGCTGCGTGGCTAGCTGGCTAGGTGGCTAGCTGCTGCTGCGACGCACTCAACTCGCAGGTAAGCCAGCTGCAGCAGCAGCTGGCCCTCGGGATCGGTCCCCCAATCTGTAAAGGCTGGAAAGGCTTCCCAGGGCTGTGTGGGGATGAGGAGGCAATTGCTGCGGTCTTCGGCGGTGTCTGTGGGGAGCCCGCTGCTGCTGCTGCTGCTGCTGCTGCTGCGCTTCTGCTGCGGCCGCTGCGGCAGCCCCAGCGTCTCCTCCGGGGACTCAAAAAAGGCCCGATGATCTGCTGCTGTTCTTTTCAGATTTAAAACGAAGCAGCGCAAGTTGCGCGTGGCGATGCGGCTCAGGCCTGCGCGCTGCAGCAGCTCTTGCCGTTCTGCTGCTGCTGCTGCTGTTGGCGCGCTCGCTGCAGCCGCCGCCTCCTGCTGCTGCCGCTGCGAAGCGCCAGCAGCAACAGCAGCAGCATCTCCCGGGGACGACGGGGCCTCTCCCGCTGACTCGCTCGGGCATGCGCTGGCAGTCGGAGAAGCGACCTGCAGTGACAAAAGCCCGCTGCTGCTGCTGCTGCTGCTGCAGCAGCAGCTGCTGCTGCTGTGGGGTGACACCGCTAGGTCCGCAAGCCGACGAGCAGCACGCAAGGCCTCGTCTCTGGCTAAGGCCAGACTTTCCCGCAGAGACACGAGCCGCCTCACAGACTCATTGTATCTGCAGCAGCAGCAGCAGCAGCAGCAGCAGTGGGCACTGTGCAGCGGCAAATGCGACGCCAGTGGCCCTCCAGCATTAGTGAGTGCTGCTACAGAAAAGATCAACTAAATCAGCAGCAGCAGCAGCAGCAGCAGCAGCAGAGGAAGCACCTGTCCCTCAGGAGGTCCATCTTCCTGCGGAGGTCTCCCCCAAGATCCGACAGGGAACTCTACAGCAACAGCAGCAACAGCAGCAGCAATAGCGGCCGATGCACAGAGTAAAACCCCTCGTTTCCCGAATTTAATTTGCTGCAGCACTCTGCTGCTGCTGTTTTCTGCAGCTGCACCTTTGGAGTGAGTCAGCGTAGCGTCTAATGGCAGCAGCAGCAGCGGTGACAGGAGCACAAGCGGCGACAGCAGCAGCAGCAGCAGCTGCTGCAGCTGCTGCTGCTGCAGCAGCTGCTGCTGCTGCAGCAGCTGCTGCTGCTGCTCCCACCTTGCTCCTGTCTCACCCAAGGCTCCCACGTGCTCTCATCGTCAGCATAGTCGAGCCATAAGACAAAAAACTTCTCCTGAAGGCGCATGCACACGCTCAACTGCTGCTGCTGTAGCTGCTGCTGCCGTTGCTGTTGCTGCTGCTTCTGCTGTGGTTTGCAGTGCGAGCAGCAACAAATCCAAGCGACAGAGACGCCCCAGCAGCCCGGGCGGCCATCTGGCAGCTGCCGACGCATTGTACAGCACTTGCTGCTGCTGTTGCTGCTTCTGCTGCTGCTGTTGCTGCTGCTGCTGCTGCTCTGCTGCGTGTGCTGCTCGCGCACCACCTTATTGTCGATTCGGTAGCCCCGAATGTCTCGCACTTGGTAAGTTGTGTCTTTGCTGCTGCGGGCTTTAGCCCCAGACTTGCTTGCCTGCTTCTTGTTGGAGGGCATGGCTGCTTGTGCAGCTGCTGCTGCCCTTGCTGCGGCCGCTGCTGCAGTTGCTGCTGCTGTCCTTGCTGCTTTTGTTGCTGCAGTTGGTGCTGCTGCAGTTGGTGCTGCTGCCTTTGTTGCTGCTGCTGCTGCAGCTGCTGCAGCTATTGCTCCTGCGGCGGTTGTCCACTGCTGTAAATGCCCTCCGAGGCCCCCCAGATTACAGTGTGGGGTGCTGTTGCTGCAGCAGCTGCTGCTGTTAACGACTTTGTTGCTGTGGCTCCAAATTGGCTGGCATTAGGAGATCTGGTGCTTCATCAGCTGCGCAGCAGCAGCAGCACCGACCAGCAATGGCTGGTGTCTTTGTTGCTTATGCGGCTGCTGCTGCTGCTGCTGCTGCTGTTTCTGCTTTCGCGCTTAGCACCTGTGAAGCTTTTCGGTCCCTCATCAGCTGCTCTTAGCAGCGGCAGGAATAAAGTGCTAACGCGGGGCCGCCTCGCCCCCCTTAGTACTGCTGCTGCTGCACTCCGCAGCAGCAGCAGTAGCAGCAACCCAAGTGTATGCCCACCTTTTGGCTTGAGTGACTCACTGTAGAGGAAGCAACTGAAACAGAATATGGGGAACGATCCCAACTCCCAGTCACAGCCCCACGAAACACGACACCACCGAAGACGACCGCTGCAGCAACAGCTGCTGCTGCTGCTGCGCTGCTGCTGCGCTGCCGCACGTCACTGGAGCAGTAGCAAGGAAGCAGCAGTAGTGTCCACCTCTAACACATCCCTTCACTCGGATTACTTTTTTCTATTACTTTTTTGCGGCTTTGCCACGCTTAGGGTCCTTAAAACTGCGCACAGACTGCTGCTGCTGCTGCTGCCGCTGCAGTGACCATACGCTGGCCGTACTAGTTGCAGCAGCAGCAGCGACAGCAGCAACAGCGCTCTGCCGTTCAGCAGGCAGCGAAGCTGCTGCTGCGCCGCGTTCCCTCCGCAGGCAATTCAGTAAAGAAGGTTTTCAGGGATTTCGGTGAAGAGCCCAAGCATTTGCGTTGTTGCTGCAGCAACTCTTGCTGCAGTGACAGCAGCAGCAACAGCAGCAGCCGCTTCTACTGTAAGAGCAGCACCGGGGTGTCTGAGCCGCCGCATGCCTCAGGGTTGCACTTTTCCCTTTGTCTGGCCTTCTGTTTTGCGAGGCAGCAACAAGTTGCCACGGCAGCAGCAGCACGCGTGCCAGCAGCAGCAGCCGTGGCAGCAGCAGGGGAAGGTTCCCGTGGCATCATTTGAACTCTCGTGAGGTCCGTTTCGCAGCTGCAGCGGCGCAGCAACTGTTGCTGGAGTCTGGAGAGCCTTTGAGCAGCAGCAGCGGCATTGCTGCCGGAGCAGCAGCAGCAGCAGCAGCTGCAGCGCAGCAGCAAACCTGAACCATCGTCACCCGAAGAATACAAGGGAAGATGGAAGACTTTGCACAGAATCTGTCCAAAGAGGAGCAGCAGACAACACAGCAGCAGCAACCAGTGCAGCAGCAGCCACAGAGGGAAGACGCGCTCCGGCAACAGGCAGGCGGCGAGCAGCGACCGCAGAAGGAGCAGCAGCAGCTGCAGCAGCAGCAGCAGCAGCAGCTGACAGCAGCAGACGCTTCCTCTGTCGCACAGGCACTCGAGCCGGCGGGCGCGTGCACAAACAGCAGCCACGGCAGCAGCAGCAACAGCAGCAGCAGCAATGCCAATAGCAGCAGCAGCAACAACACCAGCAGCAAGGGCGCTGAGGAGCAGCAAGATGAGGAGGATGAAGAGGAGGACACTTCTTTTACATTGACTGTACAGACACTTGAGAGGAGGCAGCTGAGGGTTACTGCATTTCCAGGTGCTGCTGCTGCTGCTGCTCCTGCCGCTGCTTCTGTTGGTGGCGCTGCCGCTTATTCTGCTTTGCTTGCTGCTGCTGCTGCTTCCCCTGCCGCTGCAACTGTTAGTGCTGCTGCAGCTGCGTTGGCTGCTGCTGCCTTGACACTGCTGCTGCCTCTGCTGCTGCTGTGCCTCAAACGGCTCCTGCTGCTCTGCTGCATGCGCTTTTGCTGCTGAAGCTACGAGGAATAAGGCGAGCGCAGCACAGTAGGTGCGTCTTTGGCACTCCGTCTTTGCTGCATTTGCTTCTGCTGTTGCTGCTGCTGCTGCTGCTGCTGCAGACTGGACTGCACTGCAGCTAAAGGAGGCCCTAGCGCCGCAAGTGCGGTACCCGCCAGGGGAGCAGCGGCTCGTTGTTAGAGGTCATGTGCTGAGGGTGAGGCTGCTGCTGCTGCTGCTGCTCCTGCTGCTGTTGCTGCTGCTGTTGGGCGGGGTGCGGAGGACTGGGAAACACGGGGGGGCTGCTTCTGCGAGGGACGCGGCAGCTGCTGCTGCTGCCGCGCTGCTGCAGAGCAGTTCCTCTTTTATGCTCCTGCAGCAACCTGCGTCGTAGCAGCAATTGCTGCTGCTGCTGCTGCTGCATGCGTGGAGCAGAAGCAACGATAGCAGCACGATAGGCAGCAGCACTCAGCCGCAGTTCGACGCTGCAGCGGCTTCAGCAAAGACGGCAGCGGCCGCCACTGCAGCTGCGGCGGCAACCGCAACGCAAACCTGCTGCTGCTGCTGATGCTTCTGCTGCTGCTGCTGCTGCTGCAGGACGAGGAGACACTGGAGTCCGTGGGGCTGCACAGCGAAGGGCCTGTTGTTCATCTTGTGCGGAATCCGCAGCGGCCAAGAAATGGTTCGTCAGTTTATTTGCATTAATAGGTTTTGCTGCCTCTCACAATGCCTGCCTCTGCTTCACCCTCTCAGCTGCAGCAGCAGCAGCAGCAGCAGTTGCAGCAGCAGGTGTGGTAGCAGCAGTAGTAGTAGCAGTTGCAGCAGCAGCAGTAGTAGCAGCAGCAGCAGTAGCAGTAGCAGCAGCAGCAGAAACGGCGGCGGCGGCAACAGCAGCAGCAGCAGAGGGCTTAGAAAGGTGCTGCAGGTTGACTGCTGTGCTGCAGCGGGTATCCCCGGGGGCGCAACTGCAGCAGCAGCAGCAGCACTTTCGCCGCAGGAGCTGATGATGGAGCAGCTAGCCAGATCGCCCCACATGCAGCAGCTGCTGGGCAACAGCGACTTGATGCAGGGGCTGCTGCAGTCGAGTCCGCTGCTCCAGGCGCTGCGGGAGCAAAACCCTGAAATCAACAGTTTGCTTTCAGACCCCCAGGTGGGCGCTAAACCCTAAACCCTCACTCAGGAGCAAACCCTAAACCCTCAGCAGCAAGCCCTAAACCCTGCATAAGCAACCTGCGCCGGGGCGCTGCAGGAGCGCCTAAACCCGAGAGCAAGCAGCAACCCCAGGAGAGGCTCGGGGCTGGAGCGAGGCAGCAGGGATGGCACTCTTGCTCCAAGGGTTTAGGGTTTAGGGTTTGGGGTTTGGGTGCTGCAGCTCTTTCGCTTGGGCATGGACGCCATGAGGAATCCTTCTCTGTTGAGAGAGATGATCCGGAACACTGACAGGGCTCTCGCAAACATTGAAGCCGTGCCGGGGGTAGCTTTTGCTGCTGCTGCTGCTGCTTCTGCTGCTGCTGCTGCTGCTGGCTTCGTTCGCAGCTTTGAGTGTGCTCAAAGTTGTGCGGGGGGCAGCTCTTGCTGCTGCTGCTGCTGCTGGCTTTGCGTGCAGCTTTGAGCGTGCTCGAAGCTGTGAAGGGGGTAGCTCGTGTTGCTGCTGCTTTTGCTGCTGCAGTCTGCTGCGATCGCTGCTGCTGGCTTTGTGCAGCATTGCATGTGCTCGAAGTTGTGCCGGGGGTAGCTCCTGCTGCGACTTCTGCTGCTGCTGCTGCTGCTGCTGCTGGCTTTTGCTGATTTGAGTACCATGCGTCCAGAGTTACGGGGGCGCCGAGCGCGTTCGGGTAGGAGCACTTGCTGCTAGGGGCAACTGCTGCTGCTGCTGCTGCTGCTGTGACTGCTGCTGCAGGGGTTCAACGCACTCACTCGCGTGTACCGCGGAGTCCAAGAGCCCATGCACGAAGCAGCAATGCAAATTGCTGCAGGGCTGCAGGGAGAGGCGGGGAGGGATGGGGCTCTTGGGCAGGCAGCAGGTGCTGCTGGGGATGCAGCAGCAGAACGCACTGACACGGGGCCCTCGAAGGAGGCCTTGCCGAATCCCTGGGGTTAGCTGCGGCTGCTGCTGCTGCTGCCGCTGCTGCTGCTGAAGTCGAGCGGCTGCTGCTGCCGAAGCCGTACGGCTGCTGCTGCTTCTCGGGCTGAACTCATGCGGCTGCTGCTGCTGAACATGTGCAGCTGCTGCTGCGGCTGCTTTTGCCGCAGCGCCTGCTGCAGGCGGGGTCCTAAGATGAGGTTGCTGCTGCTGTGTCTGGTGATTTTGCCGCAGCGCCGAGACGCCCCCAGCCACGTCAGCAGGTTCACCCGCAGCAGGCTGCACCTCAAGGCCAGCAGCAGCAGCAGCAGCAGCGGCCGCTGCAGCGACAGCAGGACACAACCGGATTCCTTGAGGAGGCGCGGCGGCAGCTCCTGCAGCAGCAGCAGGCAGCGGGCGCGATGCCTTCACAGCAGGTGAGGCGCTTCAAGCTATGATTGCCGCTGCTGCAGCCGCAGCAACAGCTTGTGTTGCTGCAGCAGAGGGAGGACCCTTCGCGCTGCTCATATGGTTGCTACCGTAGTGTTTCTGCTGCTGCTGCTAATTGGGTCGCCGTGCGTCTTGTCTGTTCGGCTTTGTGACAGGCCCAGGCGCCCAGTGTCCCAAGCGTACAGGCATCTAATGCTGCTGCTGCAGCAGCAGCAGCAGCTGCTGCTGCCACTATGTCTCATGCAGCGCCAGGAGCTTCTGGGACGCAGGCACCGCTGTGGGGCTTCGGTGGACCCAGCGGGATGGTTCAAGACTTTGAGAGGTAGGTGCTGCTGCTGCTGCACCTACCTTCGTTGCTGCTGATCTGTTCTGCTCATGCTGCAGCTGCTCATCTGTTCCTGATCACGCTGCAGCTGCTGATCTGTTTCTGTTTTTGCTGCGGCTGCTGTGGCTATTGTGACATGTGAACTCGGTGTGTTGCCGCTGCTGCTGCAGGCTTAGTGTGGCGAGCCCCACAGCAACTGCTGCAGCAGCTGGGGCTGTGCAGCAACAGCAGGGTCAGCAGCAGCAGCAGCAGTACGCACACCAGCTCGCGTCGCTGAATGCCATGGGTTTCTCAAATCAGGCAGAGTGTTTGTGGGCACTGCAGCAGACCGGAGGTGAGCTGCGGCCACCGCAGGCGCCGCTGCTGCAGCTGCTGCCATTGGGGGTATTGTTATTGCAGCTGTTGCTGCTGCACTGGCACACGAAAGGGGCGCTGCGTCCTGCGGGATAAATGGCGTTTGTGTCGTTTCTTTTCACTTCTGCTGCTTTTGCTGCTGCTGCTGGCATTTGTGCAGGTAATATAAACAGAGCAATTGACTTGTTGCTAGCTCGTCATCAGTGAGGCCATCGTGAATCAGCAGCAACGGCAGCAGCAGCAGCAAGGTCTGCGGCTGCGTTGGCTGCGTCTGCTGCGGCTACTGCAGCAGCTCAGTATGCATTGACAAGGGGGTCCTCTTGCTTGCTGGGGCCCTCAGCGGGCCCCCACCTTTCTCGGGGCCACGGTGCTGTGCAGCCTATGTAGCTGCTGCAGCTGCAGCCGGCTGCTGCAGCACAGCTACAGCTACTTTATTGTCTGCAGCACGAATATGGCCAGCAGCAGCAACGGCGGCGACTCAGCTGTCTTTGCCGCACGGACGGGGTTGCGGCTGCTGCTGCAGCAGCGCTTTCGTCCCCGGCTTTCTGCAGCTGCATGCAGCAGCAGAAGGGCGAGTGCCGCTGCACGCAGCAGCACCCGCAGCTACTCGCGGTGCAAGTCTTCATTGCTCAAAGCATCTGCTGCTGCAGCAGCAGCTCTCGTGGCCACAGCTGCTGCTGCTTCTGTGGCTCGAAATTTTTCCTCTGAGGGAGGCGTTTGCATTGTGGGGTGTACGTACACTTCCATTTATTGTCCGGACCTTAACTGCGAGAGAGTGGAGCTGTTGGCTTTGGCACTGTTTAGGTTTTCATAGCAGCAGCAGCAACAGCAGCACTTGGGAACAGCAACAGAGAAAGGTAGCACAGCAGCAGCCGGGCATCTTTGGGCATCTTTGCAGGGGCTTTGCGGCCTAGGTGATCAGGAACTTGCTGGCGCTGTTTGCTGCTGCTCTTCGCTGCTGCTGCTCTTTGCTGGCACTGCTGCTGCTATTTGCTCCTGCAGTTTGCTACTAGGGCTCAAGCCAGTACGAACTGCCATAAACTAGAAAGGAAGAAAGGGCCCACTAGGCCTGACGGACACATAGGGGCTTCCGTCCAATGCAAACAAGACACGGCGCAGCAGCTGCTGCCACTGCAGTTGGTGCTGCAGCTGCTGCTGCGGATGCTGCTGCAGTCGTCACTGCGGCTACTGCAGCGGCTGCTGCTGCAGTCGCTAGTGCAGCTGCTGCTGCGGCGGCTCTGCAGTCGCTACTGCAGCTGCTGCTGTCGCTACTGCAGCTGCTGCTGCGGCGGCTGCTGCAGTCGCTACTGCAGTTGCTGCGGCGGCTGCTGCAGTCGCTACTGCAGCAGCTGCTGCAGCTTTCACTGCAGTTTGGGCTGCAGTCGCTACTGCAGCTGTTGCTGCAGCTTCCACTGCAGTTTGGGCTGCAGTTGAAACGCAGCTGCTGCTGCAGCTGCCACTGCAGCAGGTGCTGCAGTCGGTGCGCGGAGGGTGCCGCTGCTGCTGCAGCTGCTGCTTGCGATGTGGCTGCAAAATTCGCTGCAGCAAACAAGAGATCCCTAAGCGACAGTGGCCGGACTTTACACCTGCAGCAGCTGCAGCAGCAGCCGTTGAGTTAAGGGAATCCTTCGGGTCTTTGGCTATCTACACTGTTGGCCCCGGGCGACCTCTCATGGCAGCGAGCTGCTGCTGCAGCTATGTGCTGCTGCTGGAAGAGGAAGCAACAGTAGCTCCTGCTGCTGCCGTTGCTGCACTGTGCGCGTGTTGCTGCATGGGTGAAAGGCAGACTAAAAGACGTTGTCTCCGCTCATTTCCTGCGGGTGCAGGTGCTGCTGCTGCTGTTTCTGCTGCTGCTGCTGCTGCTGCTGCTGCTGCTGCTGCTTGTCAGCGCTGGGCGTGTTGTGTATGTGTTTGCTGAGCACTTTGTTGAGGTCGAACATGGAGAGCTCGCTCTTCTGCAGCAGCGGCAGCAGCCGCTCGTCAGCCACAACTATTCTTTTGTTTTCTTTCTTTTGAAGTCCTTTCTCTTTTATATAAGACCAAATGAACTTTGTCACTTCCACCCGAGATGCCTGCGGCCGCCCCATGAATTCCGCAAGAGGCGCCCCCAAGTCGCACAGCTTGTGCAGCCCCGTGGTCTTGCGCGGGGCTTTGGGCGCGTTGCTGTGGTTGCCGATCACCACAGTGCCCTCATTGCTGCTGCTGCTGCTGCTGTTGGTCGGGGGCGAGGCGGCGGCGTTGAGGGGCTCCTCCACGAAGCCGTGGGGCCCCAGGGGCCCCACAGAGAAGAAACGCTTCATGGAGCATAACGGGGGGGCACTGGCCACGCACGCAAGGAAGCCTCGCGCCGCAGCAGCCGCTGATGCTGTTGCTGCCGACGCTGCTGCTGCTGCTGCTGCTGCGAAGGGCCCTGACTGGGTGCGCAGCTGCAGGCAATCGCGTGCGTGGTGAGCCCAGAGGCCCAGGACACGGCCTGACGAGATATGCATGGTGAGAAGCAGAACCGAAGAGCGGCGGCAGCGCACTTGCCTGTCAGCCTGGCTGCAGTCAACTGGGGGGGTTGCCTGGAGATGACTCTCTAAAATGCTTTCTGAGAGAGAGCGATAACTCACAAAGACACACACAGGAACTCGACGCAAAGGCCCCTACGCACAGCTTCCAAGTCCGCAGCTCGTGATGGACTGTTGCTGTTGCTGCTGGATATGTGGCTTCTGTCCGCGCCGCCGTTCAACTTTTCGTCCCTAATCCATCCACTTTAGACAATAAGCACTTGACTGAAAAAGTGATGTGCAAGAACAGGCAAGAAGCAGCCAGTCGGGGCCCCTGGCGCCCGGTCAGGCTTCGTTGGTGCTGCTGCTGTTCCTGCTTCTTCTGTTGCCGCTGCCGACAACATGCTTTGCGGACTGAGGATTACCGTTAGTTTTATCTTCCTTATTTTTGTCTTCGCATTAGAACATTAAATTTCTATGAAATAGCAAAAGCTGCTGCAGATGGCTGTTGCCCGTGGGTGCTGTAACAGTTGCAGCGAAGACAGCAAGCACACAATGGTAATTACTTGAAGGGGGCTCGAGTTGTGGCTGAAGCTCCCAACTTCGTTATTAAATAGACTGCGTACCTCGCAGTTTTTAATCTTAGAAACCATGCAAAATCAAACCCAACCTGAGCCTAGTGTAGCGGTGACTGTTGAGGTGACGAATGAACTGCGCCGATTATGTAAGGTCTTGTGTTTTTGTAAAAGTTGATCTGCAGTGTTTCTCTTTTGGTTCGTTAGGTATGTATCCCTCAGTCAAGGGAGTTGTATTTTTGCGCACCCGTGTGGTCTTAATGATTCGCACGTGCTCCGATGCCTATTTACAGGCTGCAAATATATGTACATCTACGACTACACCTCCTCGCGAGACCACGTAGCTTACTTGTATGTATGCGTTTTATGAGGTTGTTAAAGCATTTCTGATGGGTTTGGCTGGATGTACGATCAAATGAGTGGGCTTGGCGGGAACTACGACCAAATGGAGGGAGAACACGCACTTGCATGGACTAGCTCAGTCGACGGAGGAATAGCCACAGTGACAAACTTATTGTGTGGAAGGTAATGAAAGAAACCTGGTTGGTAGACGAACAAATGGACGACAAACAGGCAAGCGAAGAAAACAGTACAAATTCTGAGGCCCCATGGTGGCCTGGAGCTGTAGCTGCAATCAAACGCTTACTGAGAAGCAGCGTAGACACTCTTTTCTTGAGTGCTTTTTGCGCTTTTAGCGGCATGTAGGGGTAGCGGAAGCGGCTGCAACCCCTTTTCAAAGAATCAGCATCCCATGCGCTCCGTAAAAGATGCCAGTTGTGCGTCATACAGCATTGTTTCATGCACGAGCTTCTAAGTGACTGCGTGGCCAGGCTTGACCCCAGATACTGAATTGTTTTGCACCTTTCAAGCCTGAATGGCTTGGTGATTGGCTATAAATCTAATCAATGCGTCGACCGCTTGCTGCTGGGTCCGTGAACTGTAGCCAGGGTTATAACTCAACCGCTAGAAAAGAACTTTTCTTGCCACGCCCCACGATGGCGAAGAACACCTGAACGCCTTCTCTGCGTCCTGCACAATAAGTGGACTCAACTCCAGCAAGCTTTCTAGACAGGAACGTAAAGGTGCATCTTTTCCAGTGCCAAATTGCCAATGATTGCAACGGACTGCTGCAAAGGGAGGTCTCACTGCGCGCATCTTGGGCACGCACATTGTCAAGCCATCAAGGCTGTTGGCAGGGTTATTCTCATGCTGCAGTGTGCTGCTATTAAGAGTAGGCTGGTATAGGCTGCTGTGGTGTGGAAGCTGCTTGCAAAAAATGTTAGCAAAACGTCACAGAGCCAGATCAGCTTTAGCCTGCTACATCTACCAGCGGCCTTTAAGGAACTGGTGTACGTTGAATCTGGATACGCTTTTTGCAAAATTTGCTCTTTCTTGATTATTTATTGGGACCCTTTTAGCCTGACGATTTTGCTGAAACATCGACGAAGAGGGGCTCTAGCCGACACTACCAGGTGAGGGGGCCTCCTGCATCAAGAAACGTTCCATCTACTAAAAATCCTACGACATTCATGAAACCTGCTTCGTTTGTCGTAGACTTCCAAAGGCAGCGAGAACAAAACGTACCGCTGGTGAAGTTGCGGGAGGCACAACTGGCTTAAGCTGCTGCTGAGGCTGTTTAACTAACATCAGCCTACTAAAGAAAGGAGCGGGGGTAAAAGGGCAGGTCGAGGACTGTCGCACAGGCGAAGAGAGCCCGGAGCTTCCCAGAGAAACTTGAATGTGTCGGAGGAGTTAATCGTCAGATAATAGGAAGAGCTACAAAACATGGACCCTAGTAGTTTAGAGTAAAGACTGTGAAGCCTTTTACGGCTCGAAGGGAGAAAAGATGTCAAAGCTAAGTTGAATACAGGGGGAAAAAGGCAGAATAAACGGGCGTGCAGAAGAGAGCAAGCGAATCCGTTAGAAACCGAAAGCTTGGGATTCAGGCTTTTCAGTGGTGTGAGAAGGAGCTGAGTCGCTGAGTCGCGTTTAGGACACCTGGGGGGTAACTGTGGAAGAAGGGACTGCCAATCGTATGGATCTGCAAATGCGAATCAAGGCGCCTATAAAGGAGCGCATCAACGATAGCCCCTGGAGATGAATATAGCGGCACCCACGCCGCAGTCACCACTCAACAGGGTTCAGCATCCAGTGGGGCAAGAAATAGGCATTGCAACCCCAGGACCCATGGGCAATGATTTCAAGAGATTCGGAGGGTTACTTGTATGATTTTACACCAGTTTCACCTCAGAAGGAATAAACCAAACTTCCGCGCTTAAACATCCGATATTTTCCAGGAGCCTAGGGAAAGCGGAGGCCTAACGCGCTGCAAAGAATGTGCAGCATGTAAAGAGAAGTCATATTGCGCAATTGTCACAATGGTTCGAGCAACTTAGAGACGAGGCGTTGCTCTTTGGGGAGTCTTGTTTGTAGCTAGTGTTTACAAGGCCCAGACAGTGGCGCTGCATGAGGCTGCGTGTGCGCCGGAGGATGTGGAAGAGTCACTTCTATGCATCTTCAGAGTTCCTGATTCTTTGAACAACTACATTTTGGCATCTTATGTGCACTTCCACTGAGGTTAGCTGTGTGTTACTGGTTTGCATGCAAGTCGGAGTCGGTTCTGCGCCGATAGCTCGGCTGCAACCCGCTGACCAGACATCGTGCATGCGTCCTGCCGAAGAGTGATTTTGTCGTGACCGCACAGCAAATAACGAATATTGAAGGCTTTAAATTCTTCTAGGTAAAACCAGAGAGGGAACGTGAAGCTCTTTGTCGACTGTTGAGCACGGCACCTTTGGGTGACCTGGAGCTGCTGGGCACTTTTGATGGCGGCTCATGCTGTTGCTTTCTCTGAGAAAGCATGCTAGTGGCTGGTATAGCTTGGTAATGCTGTGTCAATCTCCATGCAATGCTAATGCCCTCGTGTCATGAGAACCTACGCCGAAAATGTGGTTTTGGGGGGGAGCTTCGAGCGCTTTACCGCCGAAGGACTTGACGGACGTTTCTACACAGGACTTTTACTCCGCAGATCGGCTGTTGTAAGAAGGACCTACAAGCATGGCATAGGTACATCCGCGGCTAAGAGGGGAAGAACCGCACGCTCTCGTCGCTGCCACTGTGTTTGCGGATCGCGCAGGAATCTGCTGGATTCGCTGCCGTCACTTGACTCCATCGATGAAAGAAACCGGGATACCACTATCGAGACTCTGCGCCAGGTGGCGGAGGTGCTCGTGTGGGGAGAACAACACAATCGGGGGTACTTCGACATCTTCTGCGAGCAGAATGTCTTATCATATTTTGTTGGCTTGGCCGAGCAACAGACGGTACCCAGTGCCGTCAAGGTGCAGCTCCTTCAGAGTCTAAGCATCATCGTGCAAAGCATTAACAAAGAAACGGCAGTTTGTAAGTTTTGAAAGCACTTCTACTATTGAATGCAAGGATGGGGCTTTCAGTTTTAGACAGGGCCGGCGGCGTAAGGGCGAACAACACATGGAGGCGGCTCCTAAGTAGTGCATTTTTTGAAGGGCGAAACATTATTTGTGTTGTGTACGCTTTTAGATTACATGTTCAGCAACAATTACATTAATTCGCTGCTGAGCACGAGATTCGACTTCGACGATGAAGAAGTCGTGAGTTGGTACGTGTCGTTCATCAAAAGCCTTTCGCTCCTCGTCAATCCCGCTACAATCAAGCTATTCTTGAATGAGAGGGCAAAACACTTCCCCATCTACAGTGAATCGGTCAAGTTCTTCTTAGCAAAGGATTCTATGGTTCGGACGCATTGTCGAAATGTCACCCTGAGCCTTTTCAGAGGTACTAGATTGCACCCCTGGTTTAGGGTTTATGGTTTAGGGTTCAGAGTTTATGGTTTATGGCTTAGGGCTAAGGGTTTAGGCTCACTATGTTTCCTTATGTGATGTGCAATGAAATGGGGTTTAGACGTTGACATGCGCTGCAGCTGCTGCAGACTGCGCAAACCGGGACTAGGAGTTAGCGCTAGATGTCGTTGACTTTTCTGGGAACCCTTGTTTGTTTTTCGGTTGAGGTTGCCTTTTGCGCAGTGCAGGATCCTGGGTTGCGCGCGTTTGTTGCTGAAAGGCCTATTTTTTTTTCACACGTTGCCTGCTACCTGCGAGAGCTGTTGGATGATCAGTGTTCGCGCCTTGCAACCAACCGCGGTCCCTCTTTAGATCGCAGCACCGAAGATGGAGCGCTAGAAGTGGAAGAGATGCTTTTTTATGTTCAAGATATTTTCAGCCTTGGAGCTGAGGAATTTTCAAATCTCCTTGCAGAGCGCCTGCTTGTGCACTGCTACCTTCCACTGATAGGTCAGAAACCGTGGAGCAAGAAACCCGAAGAAAGTGCCTCGTGTGAAACGTGGCCCATGTATACGGGCTTCAGTCTCACTTGTGACTGCTGCTTCGATCCATTGGGCTTACTTTCGGGACAGGCAATCTTCGACATTTCGCTGGCTACTAATTTGTCTTACGTTTTCGCCATCTCGATAACTTGCTGCGACAGTTGACTAATACTTTCTTTTCCCCGCAGGTATGCTTAGATCGCATGATGACGGAGAAAATGAAGGGAAGAAGTGGAGTCTCGACGAAGCGGGGACAGGCGCAAGTGAAACGCCCGATGAAGGCGTAGAATTTTCTGGCAGCAGTGACGAACCTTCGCGTATTGGTTCCCCAGTGCACACAACCGATGATGACAGTTCAGTACAATCCGACAAACGTCTGGAGCAGGGGTGGATGTGGGGGTGGACTACTCCCGAGAATTTAAAGGACACACGCAATCTCAGTGGCTCACCAGACCATTCGGGAGCCAAAGGGCAGAATTCTTCACCCAGGCGAACCGTCGATATCAGTAAATCGTGGAGGGCTCGAGCGGCAGAGGCAGTGTCTAGGAGGTTAGGGGAAACAATGCTGCAAGGCAAAGTGGATAGCATGCCAGCTATGACAGACGGAAGCAGTAAAGCAACTCCCTCTCAAGCGGTCGGCGAGGAGTCACATCTGCTGAATCTGTCAGGGAGCAACGCTAACCATAACTTGGTGCAGCGCCTCATTTTGTTCTTTCTGATCCAGACATTCAATGTGCGCCTTGTGGGGAACAGTGTTTGTCAGTACACAAAGGACGCTTGTTTCAGCAGCTTTGCAGTAGGTTTGTCCAAACTTCTTTCAGTGATTTGCTTTGCTGCTTTCTGTTGCGAATTATGCAGTGCATTCAGAGTGAAAAGTTGCTTCGCCCACTTGTAGCCTGCCTGCTCATTCGGTGGGTGCCGAAGCCGTTGTACGTCCTGCTAATGGCCAAGGCACCACCTACTTCGGAGGCCTACAACAATTTGCGAAATCCCACTCAGTGTGCCGGTCATATTGATTGTTTCCTCCCAACTCAAGAACAGTCCATTAGCGATGATGCTAAAGGAGAAAGGTCTAAGGTTGAAGTGCAGGGTGAGGACACAAACCTATTTACTTCAAGCAGCCAGGCAACCAGCGAGGCATCCTCACCAGCCACGCGTGACAGCGGTGTGGAGTTGTCTACGCTTTCACTTGAAGATAGGCTTAAGCTTCTGAAGAGCTCAATGCACGCTTTGGATGAGCTTGACCGCACTGAAGGATTAAGCAACAAGGAAGCATTGTGTCGTCAGAACGAGGATCGTCAACATTGTGGTGTCAGCCACGTTGCGGAATCTGTCAATACGGCGAAGGATGAATGCCCCAGCAGATGGTGTCCCAATCCTATTCAACAGCATTTGCTGACACTGCTCGACGGTTGCGAGTTCGCAAAGAAGCAGTGCGATGTTTGCTTTCTAGTGCTTGGTATTTTACTGCAATCCATTACGCGCAGTCCATGTACTACAGCGGTACGTTGAGTGGAGAATTTGCCGTTACAGCCTCAGCCACTCCGAGCTAGTTCCGAGCCAGTGATAAAGTACGACCTAGCTGCAAGCACAAGTCCTAGCTGAAGGGTAGTGGGCAGCTTTGATCAGAACACTTGAGCCGTATTTACTGATGACCGTCCCCGTTTCTGACGGTGGTGGTGGCGTATCTTCGGATCTTGGTGACATACCTACAGAGTAACTGTTGGTCGTTTACGCGGTGCTTCAGGGGATACTCATGCATGCATCCATGATACCAAGGATGGGTGCTAACGAGCTATCGCGCACGCAGAAGTCGCGTACGCGGTGAGGCATCCTTGTAAAACCTAGCCGTGGTGCCGACAAAGACGCTTGACGGCAAGGCAAGAAGGGTTTCGTGGGTCCTCTGCGGTCGCGCAGGTTGAATAGTGAACCAGAACCATCAGCGCCTGATCTTCTCTTGAAAGAGAATGATAATAAGCATCAAAATCAACCATTGGCAAGTCCTACCTCGCTTGATAATAGTAACTTTCAAAGTAAGAATACCCTGTGGGTCTCGACCAGTGCTCCAATCACCTCGTCGATGTGTCTCCACCCACAGGACGAGGAAAAAAGTTTGCATTGGGGAATTGAACGCACAGATATCGGCAAAATGAGCTGGCATTTCACGGCACAGATGCTTGATGCCATTCATGCTCATCTAGCAAATCCCCTATTGCGCCCAATCACACTCAGGTGCGTCGATAAGCCTTCAAATAATCCGCCTTACGGAACTTAGAGAAGCCCTACGCCTGGTGAACTGCCATTTCCAATTGCAGTGTGCGGATGGCACGTCCTGTTAGTTTAACGCGCCAGCTGATGTCTGTGCACGAGTGCTTTGCGGTAATTATCTGGTTTTCAGGGTTGTTCTTTCAGTGCTTACCACTCTTATAACAGAGCACATCCTGAAGGTTCAGAATGTGGAGTACAAAACCAGGTGCTTGGAGATGCTCGTCGACCGAGCGCTGAAGTTGAGGCATGCAGCAGCCGTGGCTACAAAACTCTGTCTCTCTGCTCTGTCGGACGGTCACACGATCGACGTTTTCTGGGTGCTTTTTTTTTACTCCTCTGCCCTCCTCTGCATACGACGGCATAATAGGGGCACCGCTTGAACGGCTTGCATGCAGTAAACGCTTCACAAGCTAATTCTGTTTTGTTTTCTGGGAGATAGAAACTATGATATTACGCGCGCCTTTTTCAGGACGAATGGGAGGTACATAGGGTGGGGTTCCTGACGGACTCTTTTTTCTCACGCGACTTCCGTATTCTTATGTCTCCCCAAGGTTCACAAGCAGGTGCGGGCAGTGGTGCCATTCACACTGTGCTGCAAACGCTCACTAGGTAGAGTACAGCGAGCATCCTGTATCGGACTGCAGCAGGCATGGCTAGTGCTTTTAATGTATATGACTGATACAGGAACTAATACATTCCCTCCCTATCTGCTCGTGGCTATGACAGATCAGGAGATTGAACGGCGATCTATTCAGGTAATTACGTGGTGTTGGTCTGAGTAGTTTCTTCTGCTTGGAAGCCAGAAAGCGCTTGTGCTTTATATTTCGCGGCCGCCGAGACATGCGTCTATCATTCACGAGCGCATTTATGATTCCCGCGAGGACCTACGAACTAGTGCAAAATGAAGCAGTGAATGCTTCAGATTTGGCTTCCAATGCAGGTCTTCCTCGTTTTGAGACGCCTGCATCGAGACCTATCTACGATTTTGAATTCTATCAGGACAAGGCCCGATGATGCCGATGCCGTGGCGTGTGAAGCTTCGTCGATTCTCTATGGCATGTCTTCTGAGCCAAATCCTTTTGAAAGCGAAGATAACGGAGACCAGGTTCTTCAGGTTGATGACTCTAAGATGTTGACACCGATGTCTACATCTAGTCAGTTTTCACACTAGCGATGAGTGGGGTCATTTGCATTATTCTGTCCGGTTACCCTTCTTTCCGGTTGGGCTTTTCACGCTATATGGTTGCGAAATTGAAATGTTGCATTATGATTTTCAATTGATTTCTCGGTGGCTCAGAACTGTCATTGGAGGGACGTAATATTATTCGGTGTACCGTGGAAACATCTTCTGGACCGGTAAGTTCCATGCCACCATAACGTAGCCTGTATTGCACGCCTGCAGTGGTCACTCTTCAAGCAGTCGCAGAGCTGGTGTCCTGGTAGTGGAAATAAGCAAGAGGAGTTTTAGGTGCCCCGACTTGACGTGATGCAGGCTACCCGCTATTGTGTGCAAGATGATAAACGACTTCTCCTTGTTTCACCTTCTTGCAGCCTTCCTGGAATTGCAGATATTAGGTACGGTACGGAAGTTCTTGAACGATCGTCTATTCACTTGCTTTGGTGGGGACCGTAGCTTGGCCTGTGCGCTGTGCTATCCCGCTGAAAGCTTTTCCATGGTGCTCGCAGGACATCTCACCCCCTGAGGAATGTTGAATGTCACGTCAAGACGAACAATGCACGCTGCATGCACCTCCTGGTTCTGGATGTTTCGCCACCTGCAGACGGTCCTTCACAACTACCTTCCAGTGACCTACCAGACAACCAGCGTGCTATGCGGTATCATACTTCCTGCTACATACACATGCACTTGTGCTGTTGTGCTTAGTGAGCCTGTCGTCTCTTGTACGTTCCTTGAGGCGCGGGCTCTCGCCAGCACCCCTGGAATAGTAGAGTCCTGGTAACATGTTTTTCTCCGCGGAAGTGTGAGCGTCGCGTTCTTTCTTTTTCTGATGATTTGTGCAGTATCAGCTTGACCGCTCCCCCTATGAAAGAAGGGGTTCGTAACGAACGTCTGGCACTTTGGGAGATTCGTCTGCTCTTTCCGGATGCCTTGAGATGCAGTACCGCTCTAGTAAGTTCTGCGGCCTGTTTGAATAGTTAAATGAGCGGGTAGATGCCAATTTTGCTAAGCATATCCAGGCCGTTTTGGGCACCCAATATATTCAAGTGGGCACACGGTGCTACGCATGTACCTCTTCAGCATATCTTGCAGCAAGCAAGAGGAGTAGTACGCCGAAACCTAGCGGCTAGAATTGAGAACTTGCTTGAAGAGGTTTAGGTAAGACGCCAAAGCCACTGAAGTCCCAGTCACTTTCAGAGCACATTTCGTTAAAACCTCGAGGACAACGGAGTTTTCACACTGCAACATCGGCAGCTGTGCATCTTCACTTCTCGCATATCCATCTATTACCATGTTGTCTTCTGTGTGGAAATGCAGAGCCGTGACTGCGAAAAATTTCCAGCTTGGCTCACTGCTTGTGCACTTGGAAATGCCAATCTGTGCTCTTGCTGCGCCGGACACATACTCTGGAAGGTGCCGGCTCAGCGCTTGTTTCTCTTCGCTGGGAAACCGATAACTATGTTTACACAGACCTCGCGTGCCACAGTCGTTCCGCGCTCTGGCACAGCCAGGTAACGCACAAACACACACATAAGTTGCTTGTGCAGCGTGACACTGAAGTCATTTCGAGTGCACAGAAATACACGACTGTAACGGAACAAGCAACGCTGTAGCTAATGTTGCATGGCCAATATTGAAGATGCCTCGTGAGGTACCACGCAGAAATATATGCAACAGATGTCTGTACTTTCGGTCGGTTTGGATTCTTCAAGGTTGCAGACTACGTTTCGCTGTTTATTCGTTACCTGTCCCGTGTTGAGAAAGGAACACGCGGCAACGGCACAGCATCCGTGAGTACGCACGGCTGCTTAGCATGGCTGAGTTGTCTGCGTCTTCTGCGTATTATAGCTTGCTACAGTTACCACACAGCGGAGACGCCTGGGCGTTCTTACGTCAGCTTCTGGGAAAGACAACCAGACAAGTGATTTAGCGGTGACAATGGGTAAAGTTGAAGCATCAATAGTGTAGCCCCAGTGCAAATAGCATGTGCATGTGCAACCAGCAAAAACAGGGCCCCCAAGCAAACCGAAAGTGTTAAAGCACACTACCAACAAGCGTGCTTTCCCCGCAAAACAACCTGTGAGAAAAGCGAGATGCAACTTCTACAAACTGGCATTTGCCAGCACCGATGGCGTTGAAATTGCTACGGAAGGCACGAATCCTCCAGGCCTTGCGCCACAGCCTTCGCCTCTTCTTCAGGAACGTGTAGCACTTTACCCCATAAAAGCACGATGTCTCTGAACAAGAAGTGACGCACTGCGTCACGCGAGTCGCGCAACGGAACAAGTAGAGAATTACTTTCCATTTGGAAGTCCCAAGAAGGCAGCCAGCTGCTCTCTGTGACAGACCGATTGGACTCCCAAATGAATGTGCTCTTGAATGCGCCGTATGGGCTGCTTGGTGGATCCCTGCCCATGCTGATGCTAGACGAAGGCGCTACTATACTCTCTTGCAGAAGTCTGAGAGCAAGCAAAACCAGTAGCTGGCGCGGTCGTATAGTGGGTGACGCTGCGTCACTATTTTGAACAAAATGCAATTTCGAGAACAAAATGATGTTCTTTTTAGAGTCCTGCATCACAGCACAGCATTGAGCCGCAAAGATGAGACATCAGAACTGTCGGCCACAGGACTTGACTCCGAATGCGTTGATGCTCTCCACTTGCTAATCAGCATCTGACTTATAGGAGATGAAGCAAACTGCCCAGTCCGGTTAGTCCTCTTTGTGTTTGACCCCAACGAAACTAAACAAACGTACCAAGACCCAAGCACTGAGGGCCTTTATTACAGCGTCGTAGATTCCGTCAATAAGCAAAAGAGGAAGCATGGGCTTCCTCCTCTTAAGTCGAAGCTCCGCATCTCCTCGTATAGTGGATTCTGCTTTGGCATTTTGTGAAGCGTCGTCAGTCGACGCCAAATCCGCTTCTGCGCAGTACCTTACATCAAGAAGTAGGCTCGGCATTGGCATGTGAAATACCAGCTGGTGAGCAGCAAGCTGTAATATCTGTTGCTGGTTACGCACAGCTGGGTGAGTTAGCCTGAACACGACGCGTACAAAAGGTCATAGCACAGAATATAAACGTCTCCAGAATGGCGATGTTTCACGTGCGTCGTTCAAGTGTTGACTCAAATCTTCTATATCCTATCTGAAGAACCTACGATGTATCTGAATACTGTAGTAAAACAAAAAAGTGGGCAGCGCCTCACACATACAAACACGTGCGCTGAGATATGAGGCGGGCCAGGACAGCGAGTAGCTCAGCCTTCAAATCTTGAAGAAGGCAGTACGATGCAAATGTGTAGGCTTGCAGAACCCAGTCTACCTTGCAACAACAATGAGACTCATATGGTGGGAGACCTCTTTGCGTTGGAGCCTGGTACGAGTAGACACGGCTCCGTTGTTGTTCAATACAACAGTGCGAGCAGCAGCATGAGGGAGGAATGATAAAGTAGCCCGTCTCGAAGAACCGTACAGTCGCTTCAACGACTGAGCCTAAGAAGGCGCGCAAGTCAATCACAGCCTGAGCAAGGAGCAAACGCGACAGAAGTATATTGCATTGATGGCAGCGCCCAAACGCAGGCAGCGACGTTCGTATGATTCCAGATTCCAAAGGCATCTCCTTGCAAACTACATGTCTGACTCTGGCAGCAGTCTGCGAATCTTGCAAAATATTGTGTTCGAGAATCTCTGACTTACTTTATCGGGCCCCTGAGCTTCCCAGTGTGGGCGTGTTAGCTTGGCCTCGAAAAATGAACAACGCGCCGCCAGCAAAGCGCGATGAGACGGTATTTCGCAGCCACCCGCGCAAAGAAGAGTCACATCGGAAAACTGTGAATGTAAGCCGCCAACGTCACAGCCTCCATGATGCTTGCTCGCGGTTCCACATGTGCACAAATTGTCGTTTCTTGACTCAGAAACTGAACCGTCTTTTGCACAACTGACACAATCATCTCCGAATACGGCGGCTTGATGCAAAACGCTCGTCTCAGACTTGTGTATATCGTCGAGGGAATGAAGGAAGGGCTCTTCCACAACACCTGCTGCATCTGCAAGGCCTAGTAAACGTTGGTCCCGGACATGTCCTTGTTCATCATCATTATTCTTGCCATGTGCAGGATACGTGTCCACAAATCGACACACGCGCAAAGTGTCAACAAGAAATACAATATTCACGGCAGGGATTGATCGCTGGTGGGTGTTGTCCGGCAATGCAAAAGCAGACAGGGGAGCTGCTCCCCCAGCCAAAGGGAATTCGTTCAGCTGTCCATCAGCAGCAAGCGACCTGAATTCTTCCATGCCACCTTGGACAGGGGGAGTGGTCGCACCACCCATATCGTCCCTTTCAGAGGTAGCAGCTGGGTTTCCCGAAAGAAAGGAGGCCAGGAACGAAGTCAGGGAAAGACTGTTGCGACTTGCTATTCTTCCGGAAACACCATCAGGCTGCTGCTTAACTATGCGGTTTGCAGCCTCGGCTGGGACAACAATCAGGCCCAACGGCGAAGGAAGGGCGTCACGCACTTCTACATGCCGTGCATCTTGGCTGATGACAGCTATCAGTTCTGTAAATCGAATCAAGCAACCACAAATAAGAACGGCTGAAACCTCAGCACCTTTCCAACAGTATAATAATCAAAATGTCCTAGCCGAGTTCGCAGCAGAAGACTTGGTAACTGCCAGTATGCTGGGTGCTTCCCGTCCAAATCAGCTGAGAAAGCAATTAACAGGAGCTGCTGCAGCTCCAACGCCCAAAGAGTAAACAGTAGAATCACAAAAACTCACCGCCAGTAATGGAATCAAACGCGTTTACCGGTCGCAAACGATTCGCTGGTCCTGCTGACAACCTTGAGCGGGGTTCCTTCACGCGTTCTGTTATGTGCACACGGATAAGTATTGCTGATCCAAAACTGATTGCTTCTTCTTTTGTCTTCGGACGTCGGACCTTCACACCAGGCTGCCACAAAATGTACCCACTACGTTTTGCAGACTCAACGCGGGATGCGGCCAAGGTGGCTTCCTTGATAGTCTGAGAGGCAGCAGCACGCAGTGCCTCTTCAGCATCTAGGGATTCTCTTGTTCCTTCAGTTTCTGCGGCTGATGCAACCTGCATTAGTCCGAGGCCACATTTTCGCTGTCTTTGAGCTTGCGCTGTTGCCATTATCGTAAGCTCTGCCGTGCGTGCTGCTGTAGCCGCGAATTTCGCATCCCGTATGGTGGTTTCACCATCGTCTTCGAAGCATGTCCGGCATACGCTGCTGCTTGAATTCCCTCGAAACTGGCGGCAAATGGACTGTGCTGCCTTGTGGATTGCCTCATCTACATCGCACAAGCAGCCGTTACTATGTCTGAGCACAGTTCCCAGAGCAGTCGTCCAATGCCATTTACATGAACGGGAGGAGCAAGTTATCGCATTTCCTTGGTTAGCTCGCAGTGCACCCCTACCCAGTAAGAGTCAGCTTACCGTCGATGCACTCCGCTACGGGAAAAAAAAAAGTTGGGTCGTTGTCGCAGGGGCAAAACCACCATGTACTATGTTCGTCTGGTGCTGCTTGCAGCCCCGCTCCATCAACCGCTTGTTGCCCATCATCCTGCGCTGTACTTGACTGCCCATGCGCAGCTGTGAAGTTGCCCGACGATGTCCAGTTACTCGTGGAAACATTATCTCTAGCCACAGTGTGCTGCGCGTGATCCACATTTATATTCTCAACTGAGAACATACACATCCAGGCCAAGGCATGAACCGAGGAGCTGCCTATTTCCACAATACGAGCTATGACAGGTAGTACAGTTAATAGGATTTATTTTGCATGCTATAAAATGCACTGTGAGGAGTAAAGAATGCAGCCAGCCGCGTTTCTAGTCGTGTCTCACTTGTGTCTGTGGGAGATCTATCAACCTCGTTTTGATGAGGTCGACATTCTGGAATTTGGTTAATGCTTCGTTGCGGTATGTTGCCATTGCTCTGCTGCGTATCCTGCATGCTTTGGCCAGCAGCCCTTGTTTCGGCGGCAGATAGGGGTATGCCGCACGGTATAGCTCCAGCTGAACTAGACTCTGCCATGAATTCCCCCTCCTCGCCAATCACATTAGAGGGTTTCCTCCTCTCAATCGCTGGACGGTCTGAGGAGCCATGCCATCCGTAAGAAGCCTCCCTTCCAACAGCCTCGTCCCTTGGTAGATCGCTGCTTGTGAGTGATGGAAACATGGGGGCAGTAACAGGGTTCAGTGCGCCGTTGCGCACTTCTGAAGCACTCTTTGCAACCATGAGAATGCATCCACTTTTAGGATGGGCTGCTAATGAGAGGCTAATCACAGCATTTTGGGTGATCCCTCGACCAAAGCGCAGAGCTCTGACGCGGACTGCAGGGCCTTTCGTGTCCAAACAGAAGATCATTCCTGCAAACCACCCACAAAAAAAGCTGTAGTTCGCTTTGACTCTCCTGCCGCTGATGTGTTGGGAAACAGACCAGCCCTGCGATGCACCAACTGTTCAATTAAGCTAATAGCGCAACTGGCATGCAAAAACAAGCACCCCACCTCTTTCTTCAACCGGAGACACAAACTTCTTGCGAGCAACGGTGAAAAAGCAGTGGCCTTCACCATCGATGCAGCAGTTGTTTACTTCCCAGTTTTCCCCTTGGCAAGCGGAGAATTCTTGCAGGCGCTTTGTTGCACTTGACGTGTCTGCCGATTGGTCTACTGTTGATTGCTCGGATGCGTTAGACAGCTGCAGTCTCTCGTGCACACTCATCAAATACTGCCACAGTTGTGGAATTGCATTCTCTGAGGAAGGAGACCCAATATGCTCTTCTCCAGTTAAAGTTAGGTGAGCCTGCTCGCTGTTCCCACAGTCTCGTGTGACCACGCCAAGTCTACCGTGGTGAAAGCTCTCCTCATGGCCCATCTCGCGGCAAAGTTGACGGACGCTGCACAACTGACGAACTGGAGAGAGGCCTCTTCTCCGCCTCACTAAAACGTTGTGGCCCACAAAATGTGAGGGCGGAATTGACGCAGTTGTCCCTCCAAAAGTGGTGTCCGGCGAGCAATTAGCACGAATACGACTTGCAGCAGCCACTGCCAGCTTCAGTAGGTCCCCTACCACGGTGACTGTGCCTCTCAATGAGATGCGTATCAAGAACTTCTTGAGAAAAAGATATAAGTACCCATCGTGACGGTTGCTCAGTAGAAGACTCTTCTGGCGTAGCTCCTGGAGCTGTCGCTGATCATACTGGTGAAAGAAGAACCACACGCATGTGCCAGAGAGACTATAAACCTATAACTACACGAAACCATATCAAGCTAAACCACACTGCAGCAGCTCTGCACTGAGGAACGCATCGAAAACCGTCACACGCAAAAACTTTCCACGGTTGCATCACGGCACTTCTGAAAAACTCGTGAGAGCTCTTCGCTGTGTCCATTGCATCTGTATCTACAGTCTGGACTGACTTGGTTGCAACCGGTTAGTAGCTGGGAGAAAACGGGTCTATCAGTTCGGAATAGAGTTGAAAAGACATCCGCAATTCGGACTGGGAGGAGTAACTGGCCACCTTCGGGGGGATCCTCATCAACACATGGTTGATTCCCACAATCATCTGGAGGTGCTTGCTCCGAAGTTAACGGCCTGCCATCGTCCTCTCCGGCATTGCGATTTGCTTCCCAGTTGGCTACCCTAACCGGTGCCGTAGTAGACGCTCCCCGTGTCTGAAGTGTTGGACCAGGACTCTTCGCACGGGCTGGGACAAGACGTGATATGCAGAAATATTTGTCTAGTACGTAGAGAAAGCCGTCCACATGGGCCACAACGAAGTGGCGACTAAACGCCAGCCGCGCGCTGCTGCCGTATACCTCAAAGAACCGTGGATTTCCAGTACTTTCATACCGACTGTAAAATCCCATCTTCTTGACTTTGAATTCCTGAAGGCCTCACCAGAAGATAGGAGGATTGATTATCCTGATGGCACAGTTGGTCTTCGGGGCCCCTTAGTCATCGGTATGGACCACAAGACGCCTCAGGCAATCAGGTCGGTTAAAGTCGTTGCTCTCCTTAATAACACTACACAAAATACAGTAACGTTCACCAACCATCCGGAAAGCGGTGGACGTATGCAGCACGTTGAACAGCGGTCCGTGGTGTGAAAATCGACTGGTCTTAAGGTCCACTGCAAGGCTTTGCCGATGCCTTCTTCTCGAATCTAGCCTTTCTCTGTTAATAAAATAGGGAAACAAAATAACTGAACAATCATGAATTTGCATTTGCGTGCAACTTTTCAATGCATCGAAAGAACACCACAGCTGGGCCGCATGTCCGCTGGTCCGGTGTCCCGCGGCTTGTTGGGGCCGAGAAAATCATAGTTTCTTGAGAAGAAGTTATATGATTTCTGGGACACTTCACGTTCTATGCAACAGCAGAAATGAAGCCTATATACTGCAGCGGGTTGCTACTTGCTGCCGAGCTGCGTCCACGATTAGTCAGCAGCGGGTTGGCAGGGCAGCAGCCTCATGCAAAGCCACCCACCGTCACACACAACATTTCGTTATGTACCTCCTGTTAGAAGTCATGATTCAGTTTTCAGCAAGTGCGTATTGCACTGCGCCGCAAGCCATCAACGTAACGTGGCTGTCTGCTCCAATCGCTGTATCATATTGCCTAGTTTGTTGCATAGCTTAGTTTTGCTCATTCCCACAGCATTGCACCGAAATTTGTATCCTTGGGCTCCATTTTTTCAGAATCCATGTACACCAAAGATGCACTCTACCCCACCGGCGAATGCGAAACTGCCCCCACTAATATTTTCGGAAGCCGGCATGGTTCAAGCGGAGCAGGCTGTTAAACGCTGAAGGTCCACCTTTCTTCGACGTATAGGGTGTGCTGCTCAGCGCACCCACGCTCGACTTAGGTTCTGTCATACAGCTGCTAGCGACGGTGGTGTCATCTTGCCTACCTGCTTCAGTTAAAAGCTCTTTTATTGACTCTGATTGCTGTAGTTACAGGAAGTCAACAGCATCTCTCTCCAGACTGTTGCATGCCAGGAATCGCAAGTAAGAAAAAAAACATATATGCACAATTTTTTGGTTGTGAGCAATCAAAATGGTTGTGAGCAATCAAAATGGCTCACTGCAAAAAAGCCACTGCCAAGATGTTGACGCGTTTCTCCCTTTGGTGTGGAGCAGCTACAAGGCGCTACAAAGGGTTGATAGAACATGGCGCATTCGGTGACTTGAAAGGTCGGTGGCGTAGGTAAAGAGACAAAAATATCACTGCGAAAGTACTCCACATGCTGGCGGGTAACGGAAAGTCAAAACGGCGGAACGCAGCATCTCATCTGAAGGCATTCCTGTGCTCAACAGAATTATTAAGCAGCGGCTCTTGATTGCAGTCCTAAGAGACGCTATCTTCATGTTCAGAATCATAGGAGGCAGAGTTACTGCGTGCATTGCGGATACTATAAATGGCACGCATGCGCTGCAAAAGGCGGGAGTCAGGCACAAGAGTCTCCGCCAACGGCTTCGCACTTTGACGGGACTGGTTCTGAGCAAAGTACAAAGGCGCAAGTAAAAAACTGCTGCGAAATAGCAAACAAGCTAACTCACATATCTACCACCAGCGGAAAATGCAGTGATTTGTCTGTCGTATAAACCGAACATATATGCTAGCGGGCACACACACTCCCTAAATTCGCCGAACCCTGATGTTTCAGTAACGTTGGGAGGTAGCTTCGGAACCCTAGGATTCCATTATATCAAATCAGGGAATAAAAAGCATGGGAGCTTTGACGGTGCCTATACCTCTCTTGAAAGAAGCGAACTAGTTAAGAGTCGGTTCGTCGACTCCAGGATTTCGCGGTATTTGTTCTGGTCACGTTCAATGACCTTCTTCGGCAGCTCTATTGGGGCGCCTGCAGAACCACGGAGGGGCCATATGCCTAGCATATGTTGTCAAATACTGTTTTTTTAAGTAAAAAGCTATCTTCAATTTTAAAGCATATGCACACTTTAAGAAAACAGCCCGGTAATCAGCTACAGCAGCACTAGTATTTGTCCTTTGTACAGTTTTTGGGCTGCGTAACTAATGATGAGCTCTAAACAAGTACCGCAGTGCATGTTACGTTAATGATGCGATAGAGCACCGACCTGTGGCTGTCCTATACTTCTTTGAAAGCGCAGCTTCCCCGCTGCTAATTATATTTTCAAGCAGTTGCCGAGTCGGTCGCACTGCCGTGGCCCAACTACATGCTAACGAGACTGCATTCCCGGTGGTGTGTAGCGACCGGATTACCATCCTCAGGGGCCTGCAAAAGGCGTCACAACTCTGTATTAAATTGGGGGATCTTCGCACGAGCTGAAATGTTACCTTAACTAAATGTGTAGAGGCATGAGTTCGAGTCACCCACTTGAGATGCCGCAGACTGTACACGCCAGGCTCCAGAGTGAATTCTCCCTTCAAACGTTCCAATTCGCACGATATGGCGGCCTCCTTCGGCAGTTCAGGCTCCTTGGGCTGAGCAATTTGCTTCTTAAAAAAAAAGGACTGAACTGTCACACGCTCTTCTACAACAGTAACTGGGGCCGACTCCCTTTTGGTGTATACAACTTCCAACCAAGAATAGCCATGAACCACACGAGATTCGAACAGGACCTGGCATGCTCACAAAGTGGAGATAATTCAGTGACAGAGCGTGACATAAACGATTTTTGCAACGGCGCACTTTTCTACAGCCGAGCTGACAGGTAATGAAATTATGCTGCGCCAGCGGGTTAGCTCACCAGCACTTCTACTCCTGTCACTCCGATGTCCACAACTGCATCGCCCTTCCACAGAGGATGCGCAACACGGGTTGGTCTGCAAATTGCTTTCAGCTTTTCTGTTTTAGGAGGAGGCGCAGCTGGCTTCGCCTGTTGAGGCTGTGGCGCTTTGAAGCCAGAAAATTTTAGGAATGGGTTCATCATGGCTCGCTGTTCTGCTTCTGCTGAAGGCTTTTTCCCTTCCGCACCTCCAGGGCTCTTTGACGTCGCGTTCGACGCTTCTACTGGTAACGCTCCCCAGGTATAAAGGAAGGGAGATTTCTGTTGAAGGCACACGACGACAAATCGCTTTCCAACAGCAACCTTGGAAACTACATGGGGGTTCGTTGGTGTTGCGGGAAGAGCAACAAATGTTGGCATATCTCTTGATTTTTTATCTTCTATCCCTTGTCCTAATTGGCCACTATCGTTGGAACCCCATGCAAACACCCCAGCGGCTCCAGCTGTCCGTAGCACGTTGAATCCGGAAGAACAGCATATCTGCAAAACACATGCAAAACCACCTACGAGTAGAATTTTGGTGGTGAGAACGCAACGAAGCGTCCAATTTTGCAGACAAGTGCTCAGAGTTGAGTCAAATACCTGAAGCGCCTCTTGGGAAGAGTCGATCGGAACCTCACGCGGAGTGTACGAATGCGAATCGGGCGTCAGGGTAGGAAGACGAACAAAATGAGCTGCTCCCCACATCAGCGCCTTCCCGTCGGAGCATACCGCTCCTGACTGTCGAGGTCCTGCAACTATGCTAAGCAATGCAGGAAAGGATCAAAACGCATCGGCTTTTATTCAGCGCAGTGAAAACTGCCTCCGCATTCACGCTCTCGATTGGTTTCAGCTGTAACGTTTGCGCGGCCATGTGGTCTTACCTTTTCAGTCTAATGGCGTTGTTTCGGATGGTGGGAATAAGTGTTGGTTGCCTAACCCACATAAGTCTGTGACCTAGGCCGCACTGTCCATCGGTATTGTCACCCCACGCGAAGGCCATGCCTTCGTTGGTCAGTGCAAGCGAGTGATCCAAGCCAGCTGCAACTGAACAGACTGTGTGGGTATAGTCCACTTCCTGGACGAGCTGCTGAATTAAATGGCCTGCAGTAGGTGCATGACAAAACAGTGCCCCACCTCCGTGCGCCTGTATTTGAATTTTCCTTCGAAAGAAATGGCTGTGCAACGCGCACACGCGTCCACTAGGCTCAATAATTTGGGCCGAACGAAAAACTCACCGGTCTGTAGATCCATTGTGTCTCTGAATACCCGATCCACAAACTTCAAGGGACCAACGCATGTCATTCCTTGCTCTCTGGGACTTTGCTTTTCGCCAAGTTGTCCTCTATCTCCCCACCCCCATGCATACACACTAGGCACAAGGTTGAAATCCTGCCAACTTCCACCCTTGATAGCCGCGCGAACGCGTGTCGCAAAGTTGCCGGACGCAGGCTGTCTCACTGCCAAAAGCACTACACTGTGGTGGCCGCCTATGGCGAGGTCCAGGAACTGCAAAGAAGCAACGCATAGGACTGATTCAAGCAAAAGCTTTTCATCACCCATACACGAAGCGCAAGCTTCATCATCCATATACGGAGCACAATCTCCACAATACAACAATTCGATAAGTCATGTGCTCTGCAGCCCTGTCTCCTTGAGCTACGCTGTTGAAAAGATCCAGAGACAAATCAAGACCTACCATCACTGGGGCCATCTGAGTGGCTTCTGCTATGTAACTATCTTGCTGAAAGCTTGTAGTTCCAGCAGTCCGCACCAACAAATCCTGAAGCGGCTGGGCCCACGTCCGTGGGTATATCGCCCGGCAGTCGCAGTTTGTATGCAACCCAATTGGGTAAGCGTACTGGTACTCCTGGCGCATTCTCTCGACTCGGAATACCCCTTGGACACGAAGCAGATGAGGCCGCAATAACTCAAAAGCAACAAGCTCACGCCTCGCAACCACTGAATCTGCTTTCTACACCATACAGACCCGCATGTTCATACCGTACAAAGGGATTGTCGGCAACCACAAGACAACACGGAACTCTGAATAGCAGAACAGAAGCGTTGGCAGCGTGCACAAGATAACGATTAGCCCATAGTGGTGGCATGATTCTTACTTTTGGCAGTCGAATCGGCATGGGTAGCGCCACTTCAACCTCTAGTCCCCTTAATAAGAGTACTGAGCGCCACCAGCGCTGAATTTTTACCACCATGCGCTTCGCCAAGAGGTAGTCACCCTAAAATGGTCGCACACTGCAGAAGCAAATACAATTAATCTCTTCATGGGCTAGTACACCGGCAACTACTGTCCTACTGCTCCCTAATGTTCGCTCTGTGCCTCATCCCACCTACCACAGCACGTGCACCACAAACGAGTCTGCGGAAGAGACGGACACCTTACCCGGCGCAGCCTCGTTAGTGCTCCAGCTTGACAGAGCACAGCAGCATTTCTCAACCTCATGTACTGCTGCCTGATGATAACCATCCTGAAGAAGCTTTGAATGCGGACAACCGAAGTGTTCATCTGGGCCCTGAGCCGCCCATCCACACAAACGGCAGTAAGACGTGAACTGTGATGCTTGAGCCACTGTAAAGCAGTGAACCCTGCTCACTCCGGAAACATCTATCTGCCTGAGAGGGCAACAGCTTCCGTAATTGAGGGGCTGGAAAGTGCTTACGCAATCATATCCCTCATAACAGTGGTGTGCCTGATGATTGGGCGGTAGTTTAGCATGACACGCATGCTGTACAGCTTTGCCCCCTTTCGCTGAATAGATAAAAACGCCATAGTCAGCCCTCTCAATTCTTGGAACTTGCGGCGTTCCCTCCATCTGCAAAAACACCACTCCAGACAAGCTTCGCCATCTGCAGTGTAAGTATCCGCAAATACGCGTATGTGAATAGCAATTACATCTATTTCAACAGCACTTCTGAGCTGCAGATGCGTGCTTACCCTCTGACGTGCCTCTGGATAAGCGTAGCAGCCCTATTTGGGATTATCTCTTCAGAAATCTTCTCCAAAATGATGGCTTGTGCTTTGAAAGACCTCCACGCATTCTGCAATCACCGCATGGCACTGCGGATGCGGTCGCAAACATTCCTTCAATTTCTTCTTTGACACCACCGTATGAGCACTTCATTAGGGCCAGCTAGTTACCTGAACAAGAAGCGAGCTGTGGTCTAAAAGGAGGGCGTGACGGAGTTTCGCCGCCAGTTTCTGAGCCATTATTGAACGCCACCACGATTGAACGCAGACAGCAGCGCTCCATCGTAAACAATACACTTCTCTGTTTCTATACCTGCACTCAATAAGCATCGCAGGTGTGGAATATCTGACTACGTCTTCTTTTCTTACAGCACCAACAGCTAATTGTTGGGACTCGCTAGAACGTTGCAGCCCACAAAGCTGCTTATTGTCCCTTAAAACGAAGCGGCTTCTGACTAGACGAACCATGGGAACCTTCAGCTCAGTCTCACTTCGTCTCAATGGATTGAATGGCCTCATCACTGAGGCCTACGCGTCGGAATGCATATGCGATACCCGAAACTACTACAGCCCCAAAGAAGAGATCCTTAAGAGGTTTCAGCTTCTTCAGCTCTCTCAAAAGAAGAATGCGGCGAAAGTGGCTTTGCACCCGGACGCAAAGCCAATGCATGTCTGCCACGAACGCGCGTTCTCGCACAGTTCGCCACATCCGCTGCACGCGGATAACAGCGGGCACTAGTCGCTCAAGGTATTCAATCCTCCTGCACAAAGCACAAAGACAGGAACCCAGCGCTGAACTACACAGACTACAAAAGAGGTTGGTGGTCAACGTATACGGGACACCAACTATGGATGGACTGCTTATTGATGGCATATCCGACTCAGTTGAAATAGCACGATGCGCAGTCATGACAAATTCTGCTTTTTTCCAAATACACTCTCAGAAGCAAATAAAGACGTATCGTAATATATTACGCAAGCTTACGTCTTTTCCAGAACCAAGAATGCAGCTTTTCGAAAGAAAACCATTGTCCTCCCCAGCTGGTACCCTGTGTTCGGGAATCTAAGAACCTGTTCACAAGCACAGTAGAGACGAAGTTCGGAACAGTCTGGCGCTGCAATACACAGGAGAAAGATGCCCTTGAGGCCACGCCAACTTCCTCAGCTAGTGGCAGCACACATACAGTTTCATGCACTGAAGGGAATGTACCTGCAACAGGAAAGCACTGGCAGCCCTCGGGTTTGGATGCTGCAGCAGCATCTTAGTGGTTTGCTGGCCGTAGGAAGATGGGATGCAGAGGATGGAATAGAGTTCGAGAAACTGCTCGTATAGCAGCCGCACCGTCATGCCGAGGTACCGCGTTGTGCAGTACGTCTGCAGGGAAAACCAGTGCGAGGAGGCCCATCTGCAGGCGCACTTCCATTTTGCTGAAGACCGGAAATTCGGGGCTTTGGCTTGCTGTTCCTTCTAATCTGCACTCTTCCAGTTACTCGCACCTTACCAAAATTTGCAAATTATTCAGCTGCTTCCATACGTGGGAAGAGTCGAATCCTTGCATGAAGCCAGTACGACCACGCCTAAACTTTGCTTCACTCGCTACGAGAGCCGTTACTCGAGAGGGCAATTGGGGCTCATGACACAGAGCACCGATAAGCTCTGTGCCAACGCTGCGGTCACCTCGTGCGTGCGCACCCTGGTGGCTTAAGATATTTTGCCTCCAGCGCTTTACGTAGGGATTCAACTTGAAGGAAGGCTCCTCTCCACTACCCTCCATACCAGAGAGTGGCCTAAGTGAGCTGACGCACGCAATGAAGTTCGTTTGTGGAGCTTCCTGAGCATACAGCGGCACGAAAAGTGTCCGAATTGTTGTTCGAAAACTTTTTCTACCTTCTCGAAGCCCCTCTGAGAGCGCCAACTAAAACTCTGTGACGCCTGTGATGCGCATTTGTGTGTAAGAATCCAACTAGTCTCGGGAGAGCTGCGTGGGCAATGAGGCTTGCCTCTCCTTCCGAAAGGCTGTCTTTGACGTAGTGAATCAACCGATTGGTTACGCTAATGCGCAGACAGTCAGTTGGGATGACGTCGTGGGCAGTCTCATGCTGAACAAGCGTTCGCAGAAGCTCTAACTTACTCTGCAAAAGCAACGTCCGAAGTCCTGCAGCAAATCAAGCAGTTTTGGCGCCAAGCTAGAGTGTCTGGTGCTTGATGCCAAATTGAAAGGCCCGCTTGGCCTTTGCAATCCTGTCTCACATTAGGAGTCTTTGAAGAAACAGTACGCAGGACGTACTGGGAGCAACAGTGTAGGCGTTTGCATCGCTAGTGCAGAATTTGCTCGCGTCGTAGACAAGCGTGCCGGACGTGTGCACCACTGTGAATCGGCAGAGACCTGAGGATGCCGCATCATTCTTAAGGAGCTAACGCCGTTAAGCTTTCACAAACCAGTTAAGCCTAAAAGTGTCCTCATTCCATACAAGCAACAATGGGATTGTTCTCTGCGAACTGCCAGCCTAGTTGACTTCAAATGGCAAGGAGAGAGGGGGATGGTGCAGAGCGTACTGTCGTCAAAATCTGAAGCCTTCCTGCGAAGGGAGCTTGCGCGTACTGTTGCAGCTTTGGCAGTTGCCTTAACCACTCTGACGGCCATTTTCGGCTTGAGTGTTTCTGGCTTCGGGGGTTTGTAGCCTGGAACTTGCTGCAAAACAAGCAGCAACTGAAGTACACATAATGTTGAAGGAAGCTTTGGACTGCTTTAAAGTGCTCCCTAAATGCTTACAAATCACCCGTATTTTGCCCGCGCATCTACTGCAAAACGTTAAGAAGAATTTTGTGTTGGCTCAAGACCGTCAGCCAGTATTCACAACTCACTCGTATTTTGTTAGTGCAACTTTTGCTTTTGAGAATTTTATCGACGAAGGAAACTGCAGCCAATGGGACACCATCTGACAAGTCATCCGCAGCTTCTCCGCCTCGCGTTGTGTGCTCGTGCTTTAATATATGCCATATCCCGTCTGGCCCTGTGAAGACATCTAGTATTTCATCATTCATATGGAAGTTTGCCGGAGGAGGCTCCACGTCTTCCAAGAGATACGTCGCTTGATCTGAAACAAACCATGCACACTTCTGACAACGCAAGTCGCAAGTGGGTTGAAAGAAAACTACACAAACTGGTTAGAAAGGCTCCAGTCATAAACCCCTAGAGTGCTATAGTGGTTGTCTACGCGTCAACTGTTCCGAAAAACGAGGGGTCAGAGGTGGTAGGTCCGTGCTGTCGGCGCAAATTCAAGCGCTTGCAGCTACGGACCGACTGGGCGGAGTGGCCAGGGTGCAACTTACCAAGAGTAAATGCCCAGGATGCGAACAAGTGAAGAAAACACTCTTCCGTGTAGTTGTGCAGCAGCTGATTGAAAGCCCAATCAGGGCCGGTATGTCGAAAGTCCAAGCCAGCTGCCTTCAGCAATGTGATGCGACTGCGTTACATCCACAACTTTGGATTCACAGTGATTGTGGACGGCAGCCGATTTCCTGAACTGGATCACCAAAGCTAGGAACCTTCGCTGCAGCAGCCTTTTGAGAAACTCAGCAGCTTGCTGAAACCATCGAAGACTCAAGAAGTACTTTGTGGTCTGCTCTGGGTATTGCTCAGGTGACTGAGACTGCATCCTGATTTCGGTCTGAAGCCCAGCATATACGTAGCAGCAGTTAACTACCGTGTTGTGCGCAAGCTCTCTGGCTCCTCACTTATGAACTTCAGTGCTTTTGGATAGCCTCAGACTTTGTCCGATGATTCCCAAAAGCCACCATCGCAGCCGTACGAATAGCTTCAGGGCCAAAAATCGCACTTGCCAAAAGTCCGGACCGTTGAATATGTCGCGCAGTACAGTCTCATCAATACCTAAGAGATTCGCCAGCTTGCAAAGAGCAGCGCAATCACAGGAGTTCCAAAACATGCGCATTATCTCTTGACACCAGATACCAAAGCTGTTTAAAGCCTATTTGTTCACAAGCTTTGCGCGCTGGGGCGCCGCGTGGTGCATCTTGAAAACCCCAGCTCGACACAACCTAAAACTGCGATGGCAAATACCTGGCTACATGCAAGCAGCTAAAACACTGCTTCCAAGAATGGGCCAACTAACCAGGTTAATGATGTCTAAGCCCGCCAAAGTCATCGCGCTCTTGCTGCCGACAACAAAGGCGTGTTCAACCGTTCGTTCCTTCTGCTTCATTATGCGCCGTACCCTTGGTGCTGACGAGGCAGGTACATCCGACTCTTGTTCTGCTGCTTGTTGACCCTCTTCCGGTAATTCGTTATGGATCTTGTAACTGGCAACATCTGAAAATCAGAAAGCAGCTCGTTTACGAACTATTGCAGGTGCAAAATCCTAAAAATCGAAGCACCTGGAAAAGTACACAGGCTCTATCCTCACCAAAAACATGACAGGCCCCACAGCCTAGATTGGCTTACCTGCAACAAGAATAGCACTTAGAATCTGCAGGAACTCCTCCTTCTGCCTGTCGGATAGTCCGATAGTGCTAAGGTCGGAGAGAAACTGCTGGCATTTCTCGTACTGAGCATCTTCATAAGTGTTGAACGGGAGAGGAAAATAATGCATTAATGCCGTCACATCGGCCGGGTGAAGGCCCGCCACTTCCAAAACAGGATCTCCCACATTATAATGGATGCCATACATTACATGGTAAAACAGATTGGGTAGGGGAACAGACTTTAGAGATTGCCGCATTTGCCAGGACACGATATCTCTGAGACAAACAAGCAAGGAAAGCGTGCAGCCCAAACGGAAAAGCCATCGTAGCTCAACAGCAGAAGCTCAGCACTGTTGATAAGCGTGCTTACTGGCTTGGCTCGTACGATGAATTGGGTAAAAAGCTAAACCCCACAACTCCCCCCTCCGCATCCAGCTCCACTTGGAAAAGGTCCACTAATCGTCCCCCAAACAGCTCCCCGCGGTGTGTGATATGCAGCGACTCTAAGAGGGAAACAGCTGCATCTCTCTCAATTTCAGCCGCTCGCGCCTCCTCGTCTGTCTGCTTGACAAGCAGCACACGAATCGTCGGTCCCGTTAAGCCAAAATTTAGTAATAATATAGCCTTGCGATCAAGAACCAAACTCGCAATGAGCACCTACCCAGGTGTCTTCCATGGTCAGCGCGAAACGTATAAAAAGCTTCACCAGCTCGTGGTGCACGCGGTCTTGCCCAGCACCGAAGGTTCCGAAGGTGAGAACAAGCTGGTTTCGGTGTTGTTTCATGGCATTCGTAAAAGCCCGGCGTGCCACCAGGTAAGGATGGGAAGGCAATTCTGCAATATGGGCAGTCCAGTACTGCACAGCTTTCCTGCGGTTGAAAACCTCACCAACGGCAGATTCATGAGACTCCCAGGGATTAACAAAGATCAGCATGTTGTCGCAGGACGTGAAATAGAGGCCTCGGTGAAAGCGATGCTGGAGACAATCTAGGATGGCTGCGTCGTTGCAAGACGGAAGGTACATTAGGCTGTCAATCGCTTCGTCCACGTCGTTGGCCCTGCAATATAAGAGACGGAATGGCGCATGCCCTGCCTTGTAACTTCACCAAAGCTGTGCGTATGCACTCTGTTTGGAATGCAAATAATGGGATTTCAGCCAGATCCTTAGACAGTCCTTTACACGCATCTAAAGCGCAAATCTGCAGTGCTTCTTCACTCTTGCCGTTAGGACCTCGGCCGCCCGCGGCAAAGTCGCCGATAGCCTATACACTTACTTATTGTCTAGGTGGGCGTCGGCGCTCAGAACGCTGTGTCTATTGACAAGGCTAAGGCTAGGGCGCTCGTCCTGCACCAGAACGGTTTCTTGGGTGATACCTTTGCGACCTGTAAGCTGGAATGGTTGAACTTGCTGTAAAAGCACCCTACCAAGCAACGAAGGGTCAATGACCTGCATCATTTTTAGCCCTTGGAAGTCTAGTGACTTGCGGTGAGAAGATTCGCCGTCCCGAATGAACACCTTAGAACCCGAGCGCAAGAACCCGTCAGCCGCAGAGATTGCCCCGATACCTGCCTGTTCCCCATCTATGCCGTACACATCCAACTTATGAACAGAACCCTCGTCAGAGTCCCTCTCTGGGTGCTGCGTCTTGTGCCTTTGTCCCGCTGCAGCGCTCAATCGCAACCCTTCCGTGTGTCCCATAAGCCCAGGATTCTTTCGCATGTAGCGACTGCAGAAGCAATCGAATTAGCCACAGAGTGCGCATTCGTCACATATCCAATTGAAGACTCTGGCGTCTACACTCAAGCATTGAGAGTATGCGACGGTGAGTAGTTGTCGTTTGATGGAAATGCACAGGTAACAGTGTAGCAGACGCACACCTCTGAACAAGTCTGAGCTCCTTCTCTGAAGCAGTAGCCGATCCGTCCTGCCTAAATCTCCAACGCCAGAGGCAGGAGGGACTGGCTGCCGTGCCGGAGGTGTCGCGCTGGGCATGGGAGGCTCTGCATGTTTGGACGGCGGCTGCATCCCCTTAAGGACAAAGATATTGGCTGGGGAGTCCGCGTTCAGGGGGGAGGAGGTGTCGTCATTGTCGAACCTCCCCGGCAAGCGGGTGGCTGCTTTCCTACCACCACTCCGCGAGTCATTTTCAGCTACACTCGCTGGCCACGAAGGTGGTTCGTGTTGGGCGCCAACCCTGCCCTTGGACGTTCCAGCCTTGGATTTATTCACAAGCAAAAGCTTCGGTTTCACAGATTTCCCGGGCTCACGGTCCCCAAGTGTCGGCTGAGAGGGTCGGTCCTGCGCCAGCGGAGCCGAGCGCCCTAGGGCGCTGCTGGCGTCAAACATAAGCCAGCAGGGTTAACAGACGTTCGCGTGCGATGTTTTATTAAGATTAAATCTTTACTAAAGAATTTAAACAAAAAGCAGAAAGATTCATCATCACACAAACAAAGACACATGGCAGCACTGTACAACCACCCCCTTAGGTTTAAGCTGCAGGCCAAGCCTCCATTTACGACTTCACATGGGTGTGCAGTAGGGCGCATTAAACCACCAGAATATGACCGTGATATTTTTTGGCCGTGATTTAGGCATTGATATCTCATGAACAGACAAAGACATTTCGTGAGACTGTTGCAACAAGGAAGCTGCGCTCGGGCTCTTTACATTGAACTGCTCTCTGCCCTAGCAACTTGCTTCGGTGCGCGGTCTCTGTAGCGTCCTCTCACTGGCGCTACCTTTCTAGGGGGCCTAATCAAGAAATGATTCCGGCTTAAATAAATAGTATACTGGAACGAAGGTGCACAGAGCCAAAAGAGCACTAGGGTGTAGCCCAGTCTTATCGGTCTTGACCATAGCAACGTCCTAACCTCGCAAAGTACTATTGGTGTCTGCCATTATCGGCACTCTTTGTTGTTTGAAACACTAAAAGGATCATGTTCGTTTTTTTTGAGCGTTCGAAGATTAGGGCTGTGGGGGACTTCACATGGCATGTTACGGCGCCCGCAAAGTGGTCTCTCACTTTACTGTAGCGCGACATAACCACTCAGATGTAACGTGACGCGCAGCGATTATGGGTACCATGTGGTTTCTAAACATGAGTATGAGCCTTTCACTCAGTGAACAGATCCTGTGCAAGGTAGTAAACGCTCGTGTTCAGGGTAGTTCTCCCAGAGAGCGCGGAGCATTGCGCGGCGGTCTCCGCAGTGAGCCTTTCAGGCCAGAGTTGCAGTGCTTGAAAGTCGGGAAGAAAGTTTGAGCAGGTTCATGTGGGCCGGAGCCAAGTGTCAATCGGCTCACAGTTCCAGTTACGTGAGTTGTATACCCTCTGCAGCTGCTACAAGTTGAAAGTGGATGCGCGCCTCCACACTTCCCAACAAAAGTGCAACTATGGCATACAATAGCTTGAAATGTATGCACCACACTTTAGGAACAATGCGAAACCACTGCGGTACTGAAGGAAACAAGCTTTATGCGAGGAATTCATCCAGTGCGCGTTTCGGCTATCTCTAACACTCCTCTTTTAAGGGCACCACACCCGAAGTGCGGAATGACAGTATCCCCTGGAAAAACCAGATAAAAAGCTAGTTGCAGCGCTCGCTAAAACCTCGCACGCATCATCCCTATCTCTACCGTGCAAACTGCGGCAGGTGCGGCCTGCAGATGACTCACATATAACGTAACAAAATTTCCACACACTAGTGGTCACCCATTACATCCACCTAGCCCAAACTACGATGATCCTGAAGTAGCTTACAAAAGATTCACAGCTATAGCGTGGAAGTGGAGTGCTACAGCGAAGCTTCAGCTTTCTCCAAAGCCCACGGGATGGTGCGTTTCATTGACCTGAAGTTCTACTCTATGACTCGTATGATTTGCAACTCTTTCGTCCGGCTTCTTCAAATATACCAATTCCTTGTAGTGGGCACTCCTCGTACCACACAATTGTCGTTCTCCAACCAAAGCATCTGAACTCTCCTTAACCCTCCTCTGGTCATTTAACACTACAACAACACTGCGTTTATCTGGCCCTCACACGGGTCGTCGTTGACGCAAAGCTGAGACACGTGTGAACCGCATACTGTCAACCTGAAGGTCACTCTAAACGCGCACTATTTACCAGAAGCTGGTGTAGCAAGCTATGTACATTGTTCTAGCTAACACTTCCTGCCCTGCATTAATCGCAACCCTCTCAAGTCCTGGATGGCTAAGCCTTGCTCTGGTCCCCTAACTTTTAAGCATTCCCTCACTCTGATTCCCTGATGGCAATATATGTGAATCACTAGAACAATACGTAAACAACTGCACAGCGAGCTCTGAACACAAGAAGTGCCTGCAAAACGTTCACCGACAGTGTCGCTCCAACGTTCCAGGTCTTCTCTGTACTGCTTGGGATCACCGAAGATGCAGCCGCTGTGGATTGCTGCAGACTGTTCAATGTTCTAAGGCGCTCTTCCGTCCCACTGCAAATAATGCAGCTGTGGCCGACCGCGGGCTTATCGACCTGTTTGTACCCAACACTTCGTCAAAGCGACATCCAGTTTACTGACGCTGGCTCCAGATGACCTACTAAACCTGCTTCCTCTCCAATGCTGCTACTTGAGCAGCACCAGCGACATCGACGCAGCTGCCTTTGGCCTTCTGGCCTGCGTCGTTTGAACGAATTTTTAGAACGAAAAATACAACCAGTCCCAACTGGCTAAGCGTGAAGATCGCAGAAGCGAACATCAGCTGAGAAGCAAAACAGGGACAAGACAGCGCCGGCAAGTTGGTAACGGAAGACAGAAGTTGTAATGAGAGCCACCATTAACTGGACACCAGTTGCATTTGCCTCCACGAATGCCTGCAATACTCTGAAGTTCTAGGCCTTCTGAGTTTGTTATTTGCTGTCGCCATCTCATATATCAAAGATAGCTGCGGCATTATTCTTGCATACTAGTCACAGAAGCAAGAAAGGATATCGTATAATTCCCCTTAAAACGTTGTGCAGATACGTAACCCCAAATATACTTGCACTACTATTGACCCGCTGTGCCTTAGCCGTACCTTCAAGAAAACCGGCTTCCCCTCGAACTCGAGTTGGTAACCGAAGAACAGCCAAAGCAAACAAGCCAGTTGAAAAATGGCCATGGCCACGAATGCCTGCGTTATTGTTTTCTGCACCGCCACCGTAACAAACGCACCAAGCCCATGTTAATCCCAAGCTACTCACTCCTGTGGTAAGTTGTTCCCGGTTGAAGTTGCCGCAAGCTGAGATAGCTAACTGCGTTGACGGCTTGCTTTAGCGTGTCGCTGAAGTTCCACGCTTCATGTAATGTGAAGGGACGCAGTGACCGTAGACGAAATGCATCGCTGCACACCTTTTTTAGGTCTGTTGCCGCAACAGCAAATGGCAACAAGCATAGCCACCAAAGAAAGTACTGCGCGCAGACAGGCCAAAACCCAGATATACGTATACGCCCAAAAGCCAGCCCGTGGACACTAGCCCTTCAGTCCCCAGCCGTTAGCCTAAGCTTTGTCCTCTGAGACCACTGGAAGGAACCTCAGAACCTCAACTCCAAACAATTTCGTGAAGGCTGTGCAACTTGCCTGAGTGGTGCACACTTTGTTGAGTGCCACGAATGTGACAGTCTGTTCAGCAACACACAGCATCTCTCACAAGAAAACCTGCTTCTGTGTTTGCCAAAGCATAGCGCTGCTCCTCCGCATGCAGCTTCCACAGGTTCGGCTAGAAAGGCAAAGCAGAGAAGGGCCTAGTAAAAAAGGGAAACAGGCAGGTACAGGCAAAAACATCAGGAGTGACCTCGAGAAAAAGAGACGCCTCCAGGTGAGACTTCGCGAAAAAGCAGCCCAGGAGAAGAGTGCACAAAAGCTGCGGCAGCAGCAGCGCCACTGACAAATTCTGAAGAAGACAGAAGGCTCAGGCACAGCACGTAAGGCAGAAACTTTCACCTCTTGAAGCAACACGAGCAGGGGAAAGCATACCAACGAAGTCCGCATGTGCCCATATACTCACGCTCCCACTGCAGACTGAAACAGTAGAGCATGAAAGCAACGGCTGAAGCATCCCTGCAAATGTTTGAGCTCTTTTACAGAACAAAAATATGCAATACGAGAACAAAAGACGCAGCGATTGGAGAGCTCGAGTAAACCTGGCTGAGTTATGAGCCTCTGCTGGTAATGGTGCTGCCATTATGGTGCATGGCGTGCGTATATTCGTTACCTTGAGGGGCGCCAACGAATCAAGATAGAGAAGATAGAAAAAAAGTGATAGGTTGTGACGATGGTCGCTGCGGGTGGCGTGGTACAAGTAGGACTCGAAGACAAAGGGAAAGCCGTACCTGCAGCAGTTTAGAGAAACTCATTGCAGTGTTAACATATACGTCCCCCCCGATCAAGCGCGGTAACCGCACACCCGCAATCCTATCGACTTTAAGGACCGACTCTATAAAAAACGTGTAGCCGCGAAGCCTTAGCAGCGAGGCAGGAATCCTTATGGGAAGCACGAACCCCACGGTTTGCCACACAGCGGCCCAAATGTCGTATACTTTGGGCCCCAAAAAAAACTACCAAGCCGACGAAGCAGCGGCTGGGGTGGAACATGGGGCCTTGCAAAATGAGCAGTTAAAGCATATGTTACTATGTCCTCTTCATCCTTCCGGGTTCATGTGCAGTTCAGTCGGTCCACGGGTTGGACACTGCAGCATCAACCCCGGGCCATGTATGCGAATATGCGCACACTGCATCTGGCTCGACGTTGTGGTCAGTGAGACTGCTGCTGCTTTTCGCCTTACAAGTGGTAAAACAGCGACCCTATCGCAAAGCAACTGAAAACTGAGAGGAGCCCAAAAGCCCACTGCCGACGCCCCATATTGCGCAACAAGAAGCAGCATGCGCGGAACGGCAACAGCAGAGCCGCAACAGGAGCAGAAACAAGCCCCCAAAAGAGCTGCCTCAAAAAGCCCTTGGGGCGGTGAGGAAGAAATGTAAGATACACTGGCTGAATCGCAACAGCAGCAACAGAATCACCAACAGAAGCAATCACCTAAGACAAACAAGAATTGCAGGAAATGAATCACTGCGTTCAATCACAACAGCAGTGCGCAGAAACACTCGCAGCAGGGCTACAAGAGCAAACAGCAGAAACACCAGCCGCAGCCTCACAATCTCCCCTTCCTGCATATACAGCAAAATGGGAACTCCGTAAATAACAGGGTAAAGCTTAACATGGACGGCCAGGCAATATCTGAACATCACACCCAAACCCATCAGCGCATCCCCCTCAGCTAATCCCCCTCTAAACAACTAGAAGATACGAGCGCCTAGCAACCGCCCTGCAGGGCAGCCCCTGCATCAACTTAACCGCACCAGTACAACAGTCCTTGCAGCAGCAGCACGGCTGCACCAACAGCGCAATAGCAGAAGCATCATTGCCGCGAAATCTCAGCATAAGCTTACAGCACTGCCGACAATAGAAGCCTCTGAGAGCGAACGGCATCGACCGTCAGCAGCACAAAAAGGCAGGGGATTGAGTCCGCGTTGCCACGGGCGCTCACGGTGGCCACAACCGGGTGGATCAGCCAGCAGCACCAAGGTAGCAAAAACGTGTGCACGGGATATTCCCCGCTGCTGCTGCTGCTCTTGCTTATGTTGCTGCTCATGTTCTCTGCCACGGATATTGCGTTGTGCCGCCGTCCACGGGTGGAACCCCCCTCCTCTTGCCTGCTGTGCCGACACTCCTCATGTATTCTCCATAGCCCTTTCTGCCGGATATACAGTGCATACAGTAGTGAATGCTACGCTGTAAGTCCTCACCCTCGAATATTCATCCCCTTCTAGTCAATGTCAAACCCCAGGCCTTCAACCGTCAATCCTACACATCGTCGCCTTTCCAGTGCGAATCTGCTTAAAATTTGGGCCCCTTTGCTCTAAGCTGCCAATCCCTCATCAAGGCTCTAAAGAGTATTGAAACCTAAACCCAATCCCAAATTTGGTGCAATGAGACCTTATCCCTCACCTCTATCAACAGAGCTATAGCCAAATCGATGCAGCAGAATAATAACTTTCCGAAAAATGGGCATCCCAACAGGTTGGGAAGACACAAGTACGCCCTGAAATGAAAAGAAAGACAGGCTTACATCCTGACACTGCTACTGCTGCTCCTGCCATTGCTGTTGCTGCCATCGCTGCTGCTGCTACTGCTGCTGCTGCTGTTACTGCTGCAACTGCCGCTGCTGCGGTCACTTAAGCTGTACATACACCAAAGGAGAATATCTGTAAGTGTGTCGCTCATAGGGGGAGCCGCCTTTCAATACGTGGGCCGCAGCATCTGTGTAGACCTTATAGTCGACGTCAGTAAACTTGACATCCACTGAACGAAGAGCAGCTGTCACAACCCTGAGCCTTAAGGCCTGAAAAACCAACACTAGATATTGCTCAGGTAAAGTGTGTTCAGGGCGGCTCACAGTGGGCATCTTGCCACTCTCCGTACAGTAGAAGCAGCACTCTCAGCAGCGCGGCAGCAGCGAACAACAGCAGCCGCAGCTGCTGAGGCTGCAACCCAAATAAAATGCCTCCCTGTATCATCCTGAGTAGAAATTCCAGCTCTAGATGCCACCGTCGGGGCCCAGAGATTTCCGTAGGGGAGTGCTTCCGTCTTTGTCAACTCGTTAAGGGGCCCCGCCGTGGCGGGCGCCCCCCAAAGACAAATAGCGTGGGGTTTCTAGGGCCTCAGTCTTCGCAGGGTATCCGCAAGAGTGTTTTCAGTCGCGAGAAGGCCTTAAATAGTCTTGTTTCCCGCAGTTTCTTGCAGTTGTCGTTGCTGTTAGACTGTGGAGGCGGGCGGAAACTTCGTGAGACATGAGCAGGGGGTATGGACGTTGCATTAGGCTGAAATCAATATTTCGTGTCCCTCGTATCTATGTTTATTAGAATGAGAAGTACAGCAAACACCTACAGCTGAGGGGGAGCCCAGTGAAAAAAAGCCAGACTTATTGGGGCTCGTGGTGGAGGACACCAGCGCGCTTACACTTAACGGACTCGAAATGTGTAGATATTATAGATAATAGTTCACAAATGAACTTCTTTCATGCTATCTCGTGCAATTACCATAATTTCATACTGTCAATGGCTTTGGATACGTAGGCACACGCCTTCCTAGTACACTGTGGCGATGCAGCACTCTACAGGTAGGTGTTATCGTAGCTGTTGCACAAACTTTATCGTCACTTTCATTATTCCGCTATTAGTCCCATTCAGCCCACTCTATCCGCATGTGTCATGTAAGCATCAACCTAAACGTGTGTTTCGTGAGCCTTACCGCTGGCCCCCAGATAATCATCATTGTAACACGGCACAGAAAGCACTCCGAGGAAATAATCGACTCTCCACAAAGCGTAACTTTTCACTAGGCACTGTTCTGTAGGAGTGCGATGGGGAAAGGGTGGCGAATTTTGGCGGAATTCGTTAAGTAATTCATGAGGTACCCAACCGAGAGTTCAAAGCACATTTTGTGGCAAAGATGAGCATGCGTTTTTTTTAGTTGCTTCGGAATCGTAGCCACTGTAGTCACTGCTGAGAGAGGCTCTTCCAAGCCCGCATATGCTCTCATTAAGTCTACGGCTACCAGCTTAAAGACAAACAGGCATTTCCTGTCAGACTCTGGGGCACATATTCAGCCTACATCTACCCAAGAAAAGGTTTTTCAGTGACCTGAATGCGCAGATTTACCTATGAGACGTTAGTCACATGGGAAGGATGCCTACCCAGCTTTTATGACCCCTAGCAGTATCCCTAATTACGACGCAACCATTGGCGCAAACACAAACTAGTTTCATCTGGTACTGGGGCTGCAGTATTTAAGTGGCTACCAATATGAGCGTAACTCCAGAACCCATGGTGTTTCTATCTTGTAACCCTGAGAAGCTCTCTAGAAACCTGAAGCTTTTGTTACGCTGAGCAATACGAAACTGGGCGTAGCCACCGGCTTAGGTTGCCTACCCAGCTCCCTGACGATTCCCACACCTCCTGCTGTCCTAGCTTGCACACCATCTGAAGAACTGTACAGTCCAGTAGCAATGATCCCAAAAGTGACATGCATGCGAGAAAGCGCATTGATGTCTCATGCTTCCTGAGCACAACAACTTAAATACCAGTTTAACTTCCGTGCTAAGGTTTTAGTTGCATGTCTCATGATGAAACAAACACAAGTATGTTCAACACCGGGAAAACATGTGAAAAGCTAGTTAACTCAAGAGGCGGGCCGTAATAGCTCTGCTGTAGCGAACAGCAGGAGGCGGAGTGGCGAGCTCAGCGATGGAGTGCCAACAAAAGGGAATCAGGAGCTAAGCCACTTTTCTCCGCAGTCATTTCAGCAAAGTGTCTCTACTAAAGATCTGGGTGCTCCTCAAGTGCACCTTGTGAACACATTCTGTGCTTAGATAAACACACACTGTAGCAGCAGCCGAGCCGCAATTCCTGCCGACGGAGAACGTTGCCAGCGTCCCGCGCGTAGTGCCCTTTTTGAGGCACGTGTCACTCCTCCATGAGCGAATATTTTTGAGACTTCTACTCATGTGGGTAGTTCTGCCAAAAGCAGCTGTTTGAAATTTCTTTAGGGCCCTATTTCAGTAGTGCAGCGTTGCTGCTGCTCTTCGAAGCCGGTTTAAAAGGCGGGTAAACGCGGCCACTCCTATTCTTATCACATATTTCATACCTATTGCTACTCACTAAGGATTCCTCTGGGTAATTGACGCCCTGGTGGCTCAAAGTCTCATCGTACTGAGAGATTAGTGCCAAAGAAGTATGGCAGACTTTGGCAGCCCAGCACATATGTACTTCAAACGTGCTTGGCGTGGCCGGAAGAGGCAAACTTTGTTGTATGAGCTTATACAAGACCTTTTCTGTATTCATTTGAGCTAAAATGGGTGCAAAAGTTCAAAAGTTGCCGTGCTGTCCATCTTTGACCCCAACATGTCAGATGCAGGTTGCGCCCTGTGGCTTCAAGAAATCCCAGCGATTAAATATATTGTAAAGCCTTTAAATAGCGCTTTTGGCATCTCTATCCCTTGTTTATTGAGTTTTTTGGCCGTTATAAGCGAAAGGGCGAGCAACATCGTGTCCTGGCATGGCACATGGCTGAAGGAAGCATGGTTGCGTTTCGCGTGAGGTAAAAAATGCCCATCATCAAGAAGTAAAAGCCAAAACTCCAAAGACTTGGGAAATTCCAAAATTTAGAACTGCTTAAGGGGCCTGCAACTGGGCTTAATGCAATAATCCCAGTAAGCGGCGCTCTTGAGAGACAGGTCCCGCGTCGGTGGCGCTGCCGAATGCTCACTGGACCAGTAAGTTTGCACTTGCTCCTCTTGGAGAAGAAAATGTAAATTTTCATATCAGAAGTATTAAATCAGCGTAGTCTTTACTACAAGAAAGAGATTGGAGCATTTTTGCCGTTTATGGCTCTGACCCCGCGGGTCATTTTCAAAGCGTTCGCTGTTGCCTTACCCTGATTGAGTGACGGTGGAGGCGTCAACGGAGAGGACGTGCGCAGAACTTCATTGATTTTTATTCTCATAGATTAAATTTTCACTTTTTCTTTTGTCTAAGTTACCAGGCGAAGAATCTGAACGGTGTTTGGCGTCGTGGTGCGCCAAGCCGCTGTCTGCAGCGAGCAGTTTCAATCGAGTCACTGCAGAGCCCCTACTGAGATAAAGCTCGTAGCTTATCCCACTGTAAAACTAGTGCCCAAACAAATTCCTTTCCTATTTTAAGCTCGGTCAATATGACTTCAAGCTTGCGTAGACAAGTTGAGCCCCTTCCAAGCAATGGAGAAAGGAGGGAGCCTGGCCATGCGCTGGAAGAAGCACCCGGAGAAGCCGCAGCGCTACGGGTTTCCAATAAATTCGGAAGTAATTCACGACTGGCACCTTCCCACGGAGCACACCTTTCCTGCACTTTGGATGAATCTCACAAACATGCCCAGACCATGAGTACTCACTCCTCAACGCCTACACAAACGTTCATGCGGCCGGTGTTCTGGGCCCGTAGGCCTGCGGCTGCACTGTCTTCTACTTTCGCAGTTACTCCGTGGGGTATGTCTAAACTGCACTTGCGTTTCGATTCAAGCACTGCGCGCAGCGAATCAACCCAAGCATGAGACCACAGTCCATCGTTTTCCTTAGCTGCAGCTGCAACATAATTTGAGCTGAAACAGCACTGAAGATGTGCAATCACTTGTCAGGAAACGAACCCCCCCATCCTTGCAGCTGAATGTGGCCTGAATACTGCTGCTATGCTTGTCTGCTCTCATCTTCAGGAAAAATGCTCTTGTGGGCTCTCGCGCTTGTTGGATGCATGGGCATGTCAGTAGAGGCAGACGGAGTCCTTGCAGCATCTAAAGGAGCCGAAAGTGCAGCAACGTTAACACCACTTCACTTGACCTTCCACGGTTCAAGGCTGTCAGGTAACAGATTCCGAAATTCAGCCATTTGCAGGCATTCAGATGAATATACAGAGTTTTAAGGCTATACCTGTTGCTTCCGCTTTTTTTGTTTTTCCTCTAGTTTTCGACAATGGCTATACTCAAAATAGCAAGTGGCACTACGTGCAGCAAATGGTAATAGCAACACGCGGATAGCTCTGCGACTAAAATGTCTTGACTGTCCCATCTTCTACGGCTTGTTTATATCATACAGCTATTCATCCGAGCTTGCTAGAGTCCACCGGAGAAGCTGCCGGTGAGCCTATTTTCTTGCTTAGTGCAGTTTGCAACTTGTAATTTATTGTTTCACCGACATCAGCACACGCGCACCACAGCCTGGTAGTAAGTCATTGAGCGCTGCGAGCCACAACATATAACAGCGGCGTACCGCTCTTGCTTAAACTGCGCTAAGCCCGTAATATAGCTCTGTTTAGCTATAATGGAGTTGCCTTTCCGGTTCTGACGTGCCAAAACGCCAAGCATCTCAATTTGGTTTTCTCTTTTTACCGTAGGAGAAAGCCAAAGCGAACCAGTAGCCGAAGGGAGCACAAAAAAGGAGAAGGGACTACACAAGTTAAAATGGCCCAATGCGAAGAAAATTCTTGTAAAACCTCCCTCCCGCAGTAATTCACGGGAGGCCATTGAATCATCAGAAGAGTCTGAGGTAGAAACTGACGCTGAACATTCTCCTACAGGTGAGAAATGTCTATTAAGCAAGCTCAATGTTCACACGGAACACTTTCGCAAAACCGTGACATGAAATAAAGAAAACTAATGCCCTTATTGCAGCTGGTGACAAAAAGCGGAAATTGCGTCTTGGGCTGAAAGTGGCAGCTCTAGGCAAGAAATTGAGACGGCGGCGACCGACGCCGCGTGACACTGGTAAGATGCTATTCCAACTGCGCGAATATAAGATCTTATTCTTCAGTTAGTTCTAACTTGTAGCTAGAGCATGGTTTTCGGTTGTATGGGGAACTTGTACGCTGCTGGTGATCA